CGCTTTGGTTGTCCTATCAAAATCACGACTGATCAAGGACGACAGTTCGAGAGCAGCTTATTCAAAAATCTCGCTCAGCTACTGGGAGTAGAAAGAACTCGTACTACTGCCTACCACCCGCAGAGTAACGGGATCGTAGAACGCTGGCATCGTACATTGAAAGCCGCGCTCATGACTCGACTCGCCGACAACAACAAATGGTTGATCGAGTTACCTACCGTGCTACTGGGACTACGAGCCGCTACGCGCACCGACACTAACACTAGTGCCGCTCAACTTACCTACGGACAAGAACTACGGCTACCCGGCGATTTCATATCGCCATCGCCTACCTACACGAAGATGGACAACGACTATGTGGCTGACTTGCATCGTGTTATCACAAGCTTAACGCCCGCTTATCAGTCGCACACTAACCGACTGAGTATCTTCGTGCACAAAGACCTGCAAACATGCAGCCACGTATTTGTACGTGACGACGCAGTTCGCAAACCGCTGCAACGTCCGTACAAGGGTCCGTACCTAGTCTCCAGCAGAAGCGACAAGTACTTCACATTACAAACACCTAGAGGTACTACCAACGTGTCTATCGAGCGTCTGAAGCCTGCCTACGTCATTAATTCCGATAACTCGGACAACTGTGCAACGCTACCAGAGGCTATCCAGGATCAACCCAGTCAACCTCCGTCGAGCATCAGCGATGTACGAAAAACGCGAACAGGAAGAATCGTCAAGACCCCAGTACGCTTCGCTCGGGGGGGGGAGTACTGTAGCCGCACCGCACGACTACATACCTACCAGTTACCAGTACCACCGAATACCTTTCCATATACCAGATACCTTCCACAATACCTTTACCAAAGTTATAGACTCACTTCGTTTAAAGAAACAAGAAACCAATTGTCTTGAAAAAGACAGTTTACGTTTTGACTCCGTTTTAAGAAACCAGAAACCAATTGTCTTGAAAAAGACAGTTTTCGACTTTCTTGCATAGAAACGATAATCATCACTGCGGCAACAGCGTTATCACACCGTGCCGCGAGCGATCGCTTCGAAAGAAGCGGTTTGGTAAAGCAAGCAGCCAAGCAGCGCAAGCGGAGCCGGAGCCGGAGGCCGGAGTACTTGCATTCATCTTCATTCATCTGTAGGTAGTCTTCAGTCTTCACTCAACGCCGGCTCTCGGAGAAATGCGCGCGCTCGCGCCGCGCGGTCATACTTATACGGAAGGAACCGATAGTGCCGTGTGCAAAGCGGCGCCCCGCACCCCGCGCGCCCCGCGCACGCCGGCGCGCCGCTATTGGTCGAAACTATCACCTAACTATATCTGATCTTGTCTAGTTGTAAATATGTAAATAGAAATATAAGTAGCGTAGTTTGGCGAAATAAAATCATTCTTGTCAACACCTCTCATCGGAGTTTCACTACTACTAGAAGATAAGAAGAAACCTCCTCTAGGACACTAGGCTCTCCTACCTAGCTCCTAAAACTCTATATTTTGTAATTAGTAATTTCGTATCTATCTAAAGCCGAAGAGTTAATTTCAAACAAGTTTAGCATGTCACCAAAAAGTTCCAAACGAATCAGGCCATATTCAAAGAACTAAAAAGTGGAAAGCCACAAAAAGAATTAGAAAAGAACATTATTGGAAAAATTCGAACGTCGAATTGATCAGTCACAGCTTTTGTTCTGACACGACAAGATAAGTAACGCTCCTACCATGGCCAAAATTTTCAAGTAACAGTATCCCTTTTTTGATAAATTTACAAGTATTCCGTCAAATATCAGCAAAATTCTGTAGAACAATAAAAAATAATACATCGTGAACAATGGCCCTAGTTTTCAGGAAGGCGGTCTTACCAAAAAACGTTTCGTTGCTAAAATGCTTCAAAGGAAGACCTTTAGCCACTGCGGCGAACAAAAAAAATCATGCAGCATTATGTAAGTTGTATGAATGTTAGTTTTATTGTAGATCTCAGGTCGGGTGCCTGAGTGAGCAGACTGCTCGATTGTGTGTCGATTGTGTTCGCCCATCACTAGTAGTGTAGTCAATCGAGCGGTAAGTACAAATAAGTAAAAAAATGTTGTTGTTAGAAGTAGACAGTTGCCATGCCATCCTTCATCCAACGCAGGTAAGTGATAGAACAGTGGTAGTTTTGTGGTACTTGGAGCGTCCTCTATGTGGTCTAACATCGACCCCATTACATTGACCGAAAACAATCGACAATCGCGCGCGACATGTCCAAGTTTGACGTTTGTCCTGTCAGACCCCCAATTGTCAGGCACTAGCCTGCCGTTGGTGGGGTTCTGTTATTTTGAAGAACGGTGGTCGCCGTCACAGGACCGTCCAGGCTTATAATACTCGGCGAGTGCGCGTGAGCCCTTCGTTCTTCCGAATAGCATGAGCCACCACCTAGCGGCTTTCTCACCGAGTATTATATGCATGGATGTCCTTTGCAGTGCACCGCGGCGTGAAACAAGCGTTTGGGCCTACAACGCATGGCCGCACTTCGCTACTTTGTTGCGGAGACCAGTTCGTCAGACAACGGAGATGTTTCGCTGACAAAAAAGACGGTTCGAAAAAGAAAGGCTGTCCCTGCTGTGGCGGCTGTCCCTGCTGCGGTAACCCGTGCCCGCCTTGCGGTCCGTGTGGACCTTGCGGACCATGCGGGCCTTGTGGACCATGCGGGCCGTGCGGCCCTTGTGGACCCTGTCGTTGCCCATGCGGTCCGTGCGGCCCCTGTGGTCCATGTGGTCCATGCGGTCCATGCGGTCCATGTGGCCCGTGTGGGCCTTGCGGACCATGCGGCCCATGTGGTCCATGTAATTGCCCTTGCCCATGCGGACCCTGTGGTCCTTGCGGTCCGTGCGGCCCCTGTGGTCCTTGCGGTCCGTGCGGCCCCTGTGGTCCATGTGGCCCCTGTGGTCCTTGTGGGCCGTGTGGTCCATGCCCTCCCTGCGGACCATGCCCCTCGTGCCCCTGTCCATGTGGGCCCTGTGGTCCATGCCGTCCGTGTGGCCCATGTCCTTGCCCTAAGCCGATGCCTAAGAAATGTGAGGCGAAGCAAGTTTGTGCCAAATGTTCAGGGCCGATCGCATCGAACGTCGAGTGCGACTGCAAGAAAGAGGATAAGAAGGGTCCAAAGCGGACAGCATACGGCAAACAGTCTCCTTGTTAATTTACTTGACAATACATATTTTATTTATAAAACGTTTTGGAGCACATTGTTTAACATTTTATATTTTTGTATTAAAACTTTTGTTTTATAATAAATACTTCTCTAATTCTTAATCTTAGTTTGATTTGATCACGCCCGCACGGATTATTCTCAAATTGTAGATTGATTAGTGGGTACTCGTAGAGTAATCCTTGCGAGCTACTTGGCTCCTTTCGAGTACTTTACTTTCTGCCAACATGTGTCACTATGGGATTTTTAATGAAGGTGAATAGCATAAAATACCTTTGCAGCGGCGGCGGTCCCATGTCGAAGCTTGAAGGATAAGAAAACGACGCTGCGCATGGGAACTATGAAGATCGAAACTACGAAGCTGCTGCCGTCGATGCACAATGATTGCGGCCGCCGAGTGAGCGCGCTCTTGCGATTCTGCATGTCGTGCCCCCACCTCGAGCCCGCATCTAGAGCGAGGTTCTGTGTGCCGCCAGTCTGCTGCAACCCTTCCAGAACTAGGTCCATCCGTCACGATCTGCTGACCCCACCCGCACGCCGCGCCGGCTCTACCCCACTTCTCGCGCCTTGCCAGTACCTCCACACCACCAAGAAGTCGGAGTTCGCCAAGGCATGCCCTGCTCCCCCGTGCGGCCCCTGTCCCTGTCCATTCCCGTGCGGCCCATGTGGCTGCCCCAATGGCTGCAACTGCTTGCCTCCTCCCTGCAACGGGCCTCCCAAGTGCATCCAGTATATGACTGGCTACTACTACTATCCTTACGGTTTCTGGTTCTGTGGACCATACCACGTTACAGGCCAATGTACTCCCGTCGGACCATGTGCTCCTTGCCCTTCGCCATGTGGTCCGCCGTGTGGTCCGCCGTGTCCGTGTCCGCCGTGTCCTTGTCCTCCTTCTTGCCCTTGCCCTCCGTGTCCGAAATGTCCCTGCCCGAGATGTCCCTGCCCGAAATGTTGTGCCTGTTTAAGTCCAGTTGGACTAATGGACAGCCCCGAACCACAACAAGCACCGAGACGGCAAGCCCCGTGCGCGGCGCCACCTAGACCCAACCGGTCCAAGATAAGCGTTAAGTACCCCGTCCAACAACAGGACATGAGGTTTAGTTCAACCCTACCAGCACCACTGGAATCAGCAGCAAAGACTCAGCAACGACCCCGAAGCAAAGGAATTTCGAAACTGTTCCCGTTCACTACTGTCCCCGGCGTGGGGGCAGCACAAGGCTTATCACACACGTCGGTTCTCCTGTGTCCTTTCACCGCGGTGCAGTGCGCGGACCTGCCCAAGACGAGCGAGGTCTCTAAGCACTTTCCCGTGTACTATACTCCCTGCCTCAAACAATCCAAAAGCAACAACAACTCCCGGCCCCGCCCGGCTTACTCTAATAACTGCCAAAAACCTAAGAAGTCTAGTCCCACTGCGCTATCTAAATCGTATTCAGACTACTACGAGAAGCGCAATGAGATCAGGAGCCCCATCTATCACAAGCGGTCGAAGAAATTGAGCTACGAAGTATGCCCAATGCTCGAAAGCCCTAGAGTACTGGTGTCTCCGGAGGAACGCGACCGACCCACCGTGTACCCCGGCGCGTTCCAATATACCAACATTCCCAACTTTAAGCGGCCGTTCCCGTACATCAGAACTGGCGCAGGCTTCAGACCCTGCGAATGATAAGTCTGTGGAAGAACAAAAGCTGATGAGCTCCGCTAGACATGGAATGAAATACCTACAAATACAAATACAAATTGTAGACAAATCCATATAATAAACCGTGTCTTGCCCAAACTGCTGTTTCATTTATGAGCGCCCTCTAGAGACATATGTTAGCTAGGTCCATGATTACAGTCAGCATCATCCTTTCAGCGAATCTCGCATCGATGAAGAACGCGATGGAGCGACTAAATATGATTCGGGATGTACCAGTGGCGACTATATCAGGGCTGCCCACAACGCACGCGGCTCGTGAGAAGAGGAAGAAGCCGTTCGTGATGCAGTACAGGAGCGCATCGTGTCCCTGCCTCGGCGCGCGCTGGCCGCGCGAGGCGCTGCCCATCCCGTGCCAGTACCTGCCGCGCACGCAGTCTGCGGTGCTGGGCGACGAGTCGGAGCACTGTCTGGGCCCGCACCGCGTCGTGCACAATAACTGCCGGCCCTACTTCCGGCCCGCGCCGGCGCCGGCCGAGCAGGCTGTGCTGCCGGCCTCCGACTTATTGCAGCAGTTTGGCAACGTGTGCGCCGCGGCCTGTGCGGCGCCGCCGTGCTCGTGCCCGGCTCCTTGCAACTGTGGCTGCTGTCTCCCCGCCCCTTGCAACACTCCCGCGCGCTGCGTCCAGTTTATGACAGGTTACTATTACTACCCCTACGGGTTCTGGTTCTGCGGTCCGTACCATGTGACGGGTACTTGCGTCCCCGGCGGGCCTGTGTCCCCGGGTGGTCCATGCGGGCCCTGCCCCCCTAACCCTGGCGGCCCGTGTGGTCCGTGTCCGTGTGGTCCGTGCTGCTGTGTACTCGACCCTAGCGCAATATTGTCTCCGACTATGCTTAGCGATAGCGACGCGACGTGTGGATCCATCCTCAGCGAGCTGGCGGGCTTAGACCTCACTAAGGTCAACTTACCCGAGTCTATGAGTTGTTTGGCGTTGGGCTGCTTCCCTATGTATGCACCGTGCAAGCCATGCCAACCAAGTGGGTCTCTAACATTCCCAATGGCTTGCGGCGCTTGTGGCCCGTGCGGCCCATGTGCCCCTTGTTGCGGTGGAGTCGGCCCGTGTGGTCCTTGTGGTCCTGCTGGTCCATTTGGGCCGTGTGGTCCTTGCTTCCCTGGCGTAGGATGTTCTAGTGGTGGCTTTGGTGGATGCGGCGCCTGTACTCCATGTCGTATGGGTGCAGGATGTGGATGCTGCGGCTGTGGTCCATGTGGTGCTATCTGTTGCGGCCCATGCGGCGGTTGTGGTCCTTGTGGACCTTGTGGGCCATGTGGGCCATGTGGCCCATGTTGTGGTCCGTGTGGTCCGTGTGGACCGTGCGGGCCGTGTTGTGGGCCATGCGGGCCGTGTGGTGGATGTGGCCCCTGTGCTTGCGGGCCAGGGTGCTGCGGGCCCCTTTGCACCCCATGCGGTCCATGTGGCCCATGCAGTCCATGTGGTCCATGCGGCCCATGTGGTCCCGCTTGTTTACCGTTTGGTGCGTGCTGCGGAATTGGATCTCCTCCTGCTCCTCCTTGCATGCCAAGTCCTAATCCTCCTTGCATGCCTCCTTGCATGCCAAATCCTACTCCTCCTTGCATGCCAAATCCTGCTCCTCCTGCTGCTCCTCCTCCTTGCATGCCGTGGTCGGGTCCTTGTATCAATTGCAAATGTCCACCCTTCCCTGTGGCTGGGCCCGTCAAACCTGGTGGGCCATGTGGGCCTGTAGCGGCGGCGGGTAGCGTGCCCATACCATGCAGTGTCAATTCTGTGCCTGACAACAAGGACAACTCCGCTAAGACTACGTGCTTCTGCTCAACGCGCACTTCGCACACTGACGCCACAACTAACGCAGAAGCTGCATCGATGCCGAAGCAAGCGATGCACAGAGGACTACCAGAGTCACGACCCGGCGTCAACCCAAACATGATCCGCCAAGACCCGTTGACCCAGGCAAATATGCTAAATGCACGTGCATACGCGCCGCTCGCGAACAATGTGCATATGAATTACCTGTCCACGATGACCTCCAAAGCCCAAGACGGGCGTCTGGACTCACCTCTCGGCAAGTTTGACTTGCTATCTAGACCGAAGAGCTTCTGTGCTGATATGTCGAACTCGGTCTATGACAAAGTTCATATCCTGCAGAAGTTCAACGCTCAGCCCAAAGAAATTCTTAATAATAATAACAGTTTGAAGGATTTCAAATATGTCCCTACTCTAAGCAGTTGTTTCTCCGGCTTGAAGGTACAGAGTTTACTCAAAGCTTCAAGTCAGAAACCGCCATTAAGCGCAAGTGAGACTTGCAGAAATGGCGTAAAGAGGCTATGGGCCCCCATCGTGAGCCGTACAGTACGATAACCTTTAATTGTAGGTACCGTAAGATAAATGTTTTAGGTATATTTGGCGGATACTTTTGATATTTGTTTTGATTCATTTGACTTCAGACTTGTAATTCTTTGTTTTTAATAAAAAATGTACCGAATAAAAATAGTAACACTTGACGGACTGGTTTTTATTTACAGTAGTTGTAATAGATACCTACTTTACATACATACAATACAAACACATACAATTCTTACTTGGCTAAATAAATTTTTGGAAATCGCATCGGAATGCAGCGCATCAGTTTTGTGTACGAGCACTAATAGAGGAAGATCCCAGAGCCGCCAGACATCACTAATTTTCTGATGGACAAAATATAGGTATATACGAGTGAGTAGTGGTGGGGTGTACTATGATCATATGACTAGTTGCTACCTTGGCCAGACGGCCAATTTCAAGGTACATAAAAATACTGCTCATCTTACCTAAATTCTTATAGCTGATTTTAACATATAGGTATTTTACACTACATCGTTAAAAATCAATATTCATTACTCCCAGACACATGCGGTCGGCGGTTTTACCTAACAGACGCTTCAAAGCTCTGAAAAAAAATTAATTTAGGTCATTTATTTTCTGATGCTTGATTTTTATATATGTTATTCAGACAACTATTCTAAAACGTTTTGCAAACGGACAGACCAATCCAAGGGGCCAAACATTCCCCAGACCCAATTTTAATGTCGCTGAGAGTAAGAGCGCGGGCATTATTCCCGCTACGATCAATGGGAGCCGAGCAGCGGGAGTAGCAAGTCAACAAGAGTGGGGAGGGAGCCATGCTTCGGCACGAATGTGCCGGCTCGATCGGAGGTATACTACGGCCTCACAGAAAACCGACGTGAAACAAATACATTATTCTTTGCAATTACCTCATCCCTCTTAGGGGTCTGTACTCTGTCAAATTTTTTTTATGGTACCTAAGTAAAAGCTGGTAAATGAGCAGACGGTTTGCTTGATGGTAAGCAACCAGCGTCGCCCATGGACACGTGGAACACCAGAGGCGTTACAAATGCGTTACCGGCCTTTTGGGATTAGGAATTTGACGATTGTTGGGCTCACACCGAGTCATGATGAAACACAACGCAAGCTATTGTTGTTTCACGTCAGTTTTCTGTGAAACGGTGGTAGGTATCACTCCGGTCGAGCCGGCCCATTCGGGCCGAAGCATGGCTCTCCCACACTTAAGCCATCAGATCACCAGTCATCAGACTAACCGACTGACTGCCACATTGCCACTGCACAGGTGCATTTAGATAGGTAGGAAAAGGTAAAGTGTACCTATAACCATAGGTATGGTTAATACCGGATTACCGCCGTGGGATCTGGAGGCGAAGGTGCTCGCGCGCGCGGAGGCACGTCGCCGGGGCGAAACTCCGCTGCCGCGCCAGATTAATGCGTGGCGGGATGAGCTCCGGCGTGATCTCAAGGCGGAATGGCAGCAACGAAGGCTGGGCTCGCTGTCATTGCAGCGGTAAGTCCCCTCTTTGAGGAGTGGCTTGAGAGACGCTACGGCGTCCTCACCTTCCGCCTGACGTAGGTGCTTACCGGACACGGAAGTTTCGGTAGGTTCCTGTTTCGGATTGGGCGGGAGGAAACGCCCGGGTGTCATCACTGCGAGGATCGGCTGGAGGACACGGTGGCGGTGTGTCCTGCGTGGACTGAGCACCGCCGTGTCCTCAGTAATGTGATCGGCGACGGCGACCTCTCGCGTCCGGCTCTGGTTCAGACCATGGTACGGAGCGAGGGGGACTGGGATGCCGTCTCCTCCTTCTGCGAAGCAGTCATGCTAGCTAAGGAGGAGGCGGACCGCGTGAGGGAACGAACCTCCTCACGACCCGGCCGTCGCGAGAGACACTCCGGGCGTCGGGGATCGCGAGACGATCTCCGGCCACCGTAAGCACGGGCCTGCGGACGGCGAGCATGGGTGACTCGCCGCCCGACCAGAACCAGGCCCGAGCGTACGGCGCGTCGCGTTCCGCGCGCGCCTCACGGAGCCATCAGACCATCAGACCACCACAGATGGGGCCTAACAAGGCTGATGCCGATACGGAGCCGCGGAAGACTTAACGGGTTGCCGGGGCTCCGGTTCGAAGTGCAGGTGTAGGAACGGGGAGAAGTCATTGGATGATTTTCCCCCCTCAAAAAAAAAAAAGGTATGGATAATAGGTACACCTTACCTTTTCCTCACTAGATGGTACACATTGCAGCCAATTCCGCGACTCCAAAAAGGACAGGTAAAGGACAACCTCTGAAACATAACTCTTATCCAAAGGATATCAAAGAGAAAATAAAGGAGCGCCGTCGTTTGAGAAAAGTCTGGCATACTACAGGATACCCAAGTGATAAAGCTGCATTCAATAGTTTCTCAAATGAACTCAAAGCCCTTATCAGTACCCTAGAAAATAATAACATTCAACACTATCTTTCAAATCTAGATCCAACGAAAGACACAAACTATTCACTATGGAAAGCTACCAAGAGTCTAAAGCGCCCGAAAATCCACAAATCACCTATCAGTGATGAAAAAGGAGGGTGGGCTAGATCAGACAAAGAAAAGGCATGTATCTTTGCGAACCATCTGAAAACAGTATTCCAACCACTCCCTGAAAACAATCCCGAACAAACTCTGGAGATCAAGAAATACCTCGAATCTGTGAATCAAATGTGTCTTCCACTAAAAAGTACCTGCCCAAAGGAAATTGTGAAAGAAATAAGGCAACTCAAGGAAGGTAAAACACCCGGCTATGACTTTATTGATGCCACATTACTTAAAAATCTGCCTCATAAAGGGGTAATGAAATTGGTTAACATCTTCAATGCCAGCTTAAGACTCGAACATTTCCCTGGGCAATGGAAAATTGCTCATGTAGTCATGATACTGAAACCTGGTAGGGTTTACCAGGTTTCAGTATCATGACCACAGGAAGTTACTTCCTGCAGACCTATCAGCCTGCTACCAGTTATCGGCAAACTGTTTGAGAGGATATTGCTTAACAGGATGAAAGAACATCTAAGTAGAGTATTACCGAACCACCAATTTGGATTCCGGGAAAAACACGGGACAATTGAACAAATACACCGTATAACCGACATCATTAGCAGGTGCCTTGAAAACAAATTATACTGCTCTGCTGTGTTTCTGGATATTAGCCAAGCATTTGATAAGGTATGGCATGACGGCCTCCTGTTCAAGGTAAAGAAGCAACTGCCGCATTGTCTATTCAAAATACTAGGATCCTACTTAGATAAAAGATGCTACCAAGTGAAGTGCAGCGATGATCTTTCAGAGGTACACGAAATAAAGTCAGGTGTTCCTCAGGGCAGTATCTTGGGCCCTGTACTATATCTCATCTTTACAGCAGATATCCCAACAACTGACTACACTACAACTGCGACATATGCTGATGATACGGCACTACTGTCGGCTCATAGCAACCCAGAAACGGCATCATCACAGTTGCAAAATCATCTGACGGATGTTGAGGTATGGCTGAAGCGTTGGAGAATAAAAGCCAATGAGAGCAAATCGGTACATGTGACTTTTACACTCAGGAGAGAAACATGTCCACCGGTAACGCTCAACTGCAAAGTGATCCCTCAAGATAATAGCGCAAAATACTTAGGCATGCACCTAGATAGGAGACTTACATGGCAGAAACATATTTGGTCAAAGCGCAAACAATTAGATGGAAAACTGCGGTCACTGAACTGGCTGTTGGGATCCCAATCGCAACTAAATTGTAACAGCAAGATGTTAGTATACAAAACCACCTTAAAACCAATATGGACTTACGGCATACAACTGTGGGGAACGGCCAGCAACAGCAACATAGATATCCTAGAGCAGGGCTGTCCAAACAAAGGCCCGCGGGCTGCATGCGGCCCACGGCTTGTTTTAGTGTGGCCCGCGACGCACAATTTCATCTCAACATCTTCATCTTATGTGCAACAACAATAATAAAATTTAGTGCATGATTTGTATGCAAGTTTAATCTGTGTGTTCAGGCGTAAGCGCCTGTTCTAATTGAAAGAGCAAATAGTTGTAAAAACCATAATTAATAAAATTTGCATAGGTGCTCGACACGTAGTAGAGAATTCTAATGTCATCCTTCACTTGCCAGAACACCATTATACGTGTAACATCTAATTAATTTATTAAATCTGATTTCGTTAATTTTCGGAGTTTTTTACTTTGATTGGCACCATTACATCCTCTAAAGTTGTAACACTGTGAGTAAAGAATACAATGTTAAATGTCATTATACAACTGAAAATATGTTTCTGGCCCTCCAGCTTTTGTAAGAAATTTAATTAGCCCGCGAGGGTATATAGTTTGGACAGCCCTGTCTTAGAGAGATTCCAAACCAAAGCCTTGAGAACAATGTTTGGCATCCCTCATTGCATAAGTAACAAATACATATACCTCGACCTCGGCCTAAAAACAGTTCGGCAGGAAATAGCTCAAAACAGTTTGAAATATCAGGACAAACTGGCAGCCCATGTAAACACATTGGTACACGCTCTGAGTGAAGACACCCTTCGGCATACCAGGCTAAAAAGAAGTGACATACCGAGCCTACATAAAAGATTTACCACTTGACGACAAGAGAGTCGTGTGAAAGGAATTTTCACACAAATATGGCTCTTGAAGAAAACATAAACTGAGAAATCAGACAAAGAAGTGGCTTATTGTTGAAAAACAGATAGCCATGTAGCAGAACTCAACCAAAAAAAAAAAAAAAGATGGTACTAGTGTGAGCCTCTCGATCTTCGTCCAAAAGGGAATTCGCTAGTCTCACACCTTTGGGCGTTCAATATTTGACAGCTGCAGTGATTGGACAAAAAACTCCATCCTACATTTGAGTCATCTAATGAGGAAAAAAACGTTAGCCCCCATTACTCGAGTACCGAGTTTGGTCCCTGCTAATTAAAATGCTGACGAACAGCTCGTTTATTGGTGGAAAATGTGGTGCAGGCCTAATTATAGATCATTGGTACTCAACCATTTTTATATACGAGCCACAAACACGTTATAAACTTGGGGTCGCGGCCGCAAGCAAAACATAATTTAGATTTTTTTTTAAGGGCGAACCCTCGCAACATTAGTTGAGTTACAAATGCGTTGCCTCCCCAAAAGAAGGTTGTGGGATTAGGTATCATCAGGGTGATGGGGGACGGAGAGTAACCTGGAGTAATCTGACTTAGACGGTGGCAAAACACAATACCAAGCCTTTTCTTTCACGAACGCGGAGAACCTAACGGGTTACCGGGGCTCCGGCTCGAAGTTTTTAGTCAGTAAGAGTCTGACACTCCCTCCCGCCTCACCCAGTCGGGAGCAGTCATACGATGATTTTCCCCCTTTAAAAAAAAATAAAATAAAAAAAGGATCATTCGTACAGAAGCCATACATAGTTAATAGTTATCCCAAGTGTAACCTGTGGAAGGTTACTTCCAAACCTACGAATGCAGGCAAAAGGTTTTCGATTTTTTGTTGGACGCGGTGTGCAAGTGGAATTTGAAATTGATGGTTTGAGCCACTTGAGCCCATTGATGTTTACAGTTTACGATTCCTCGTAGATCAATGATCCTATATCCGCTAGGGAAGGGAATTACTTGTTGGCCCGTTTTCTATAGGGTTCTCGATTATAACCTGGGTGTCCTCAAGTTTCGATTGTCCGAAACAAAAATAGTACAATAAAACCCTTTGAATGTGCCCAAAAATACTTATGGGAAACTGAAAATTAATTATGGGCGATCTGAGGTCGGGAAAAAATGGGTTAGAAGAGAAAAAATCGGTATATCTTTTACCAGATTTATTCTTCTTAATACATACAAACAGACCTCTTGCTAATGTTTCCCCATTTTGGTAGCAGGTAACCCCATTCAATCGGTATACAACATTGTCACAACTCTAGTAACTGCAATAACGAAGAGTCATTGTAACCTTTTTAAATAAAATCAAATGGTGTAATGCTCAGCATCTTTTCATAACATCACGCTTTATATTCCCTGAATAGGCGTTCTTAATGTGGGCTAATGTTATTAATCACCATAAGAGGGCGTTAATGTACAGGTTTTTCACCAAATGACACTAATTTAACGTGTTGTCCAATTGTAAAACAGTAGCGATCCAAACGTACTGCCTAATAAATAGTTCGACACCTATTAAATAAACAAGACCTTAAAACGGCATTAGCGCCATCTGGTGAGTTTCACCACAGTTTATGGGAACATAATTATACTTTTTATCAACAAGTTGCTCAACAAATATCAAAATTAATTTATTATCTACATATATTTATTTCAATTTCTCTACAAATTACATTTTTAAATACTACTTATAAAAAAACTAAAAAATAATATTTAAAAATATAAAACATAGGAGCCGACCGAAGCGGGAGCATGGTCCAAGCTACCGGTGGTTAGGGCTCCAGAGAAAGAAACCTTCTCACGATACGTGCCGTTTCTAGGAGAACTTCCCCTTTGTATCAGGCCCTTGATCCATCCACCTAACGCCAGCCTCCTTGGATGTCGAGGCTTTTAGGGATTAACCCATTGGCCGACACGACTATCGGCACAATGATAGCCGAATCCACACTCCACATGTCGACGACCTCGTGAGCTAAGTCTAGATATTTTATTTGTTTATCTTTCTCAGCTTTCACGAGGTTCTCGTCATGGGGAATGGTGACATCGATTATCATCGTGCGGCGTACTTGTCGGTCTATCACTACTATGTCAGGTTTATTGGCTACAATAGTCCTGTCAGTAATGATAGACCGGTCCCAGTACAATGTGATATGGTCACTTTCCAGAACTGGGTCGGGCACATACTTGTAGTACGGTACCTCAGATTCAACAAGTCGATAGTGTAAAGCAAGTTGCTGATGGATAATCTTGGCTACTTGATTATGCCTATGCAAATATTCACTGTTAGCCAAACGACCACAACCAGAAATTATATGTCTAATGGATTCACCATGACTATGACATGCCCGACATATGTCAACCGTCCCATCCTTAATTAGGTATATATTTCCGATAGTTATTCGTAAGGATAACTTCGTCCATTATTGCACAGACAAATCCTTCAGTTTCTCCAAAGAGATTACTGAATCGTAGCCAAGATACGGACGCTAGAAAATCTACACTGGGCCCATGAAGGGCCCGGAAGAACCGTCCGTGGAGCTCCTTGCTATGCCATACCTTCTTGCGATCATTGACGCTACAGGTTTGCGCTAGTTCTCTTTTGCCAAGGATAGTGGAGTGAATCTATTGTCCACCGCTGCTACTTCTCGATGCATACCCTCGTTGACTTTCAGGAAATATTCCCTGAGGCTGCAAACCTCACGGTTGTGAAGGGTCTTAGCATTTAATAAGCCTCGACCACCACACATCCGCGGGATGTACAACCTCATGACCGACGAACGAGGGTGATGCATGTGATTTGCGGTCAGCAGTGTCCGGACTCGCCTATCCAGGGTGTCAAATTCAGTCTGAGTCCACTTGAGTATACCAAAAGAATACATTAGGACTGGCATGACCCAACCGTTAAAGGCTCGCACTTTGTTTCCGTCTGATAAGGAACTTTTCAGTACCTTATTCAGGCGGCCAAAGAAGCGCTCCTGTAACGATTGCTTCATGTCCGGTCCATTAATGCCCAATCCTTCTGACATACCCAGGTACTTGTATGTGTCGTTTGCGGAGAGTGATCTCAGTTTTGTGAAATCTGAGAGTTCTAGTCCCTCAGATTCCACAATCCCTCCTCGCTTTACATGCATGACCGCACACTTGTCTACTCCAAACTCCATTCTGATGGAACTACTAAATTTTTCAGTTATATTCAGTATTTCCATCAGTTGTTTCTTGTTTGGCGCAAACAACTTGAGGTCATCCATGTAAAGTAAGTGGGATATAGCTAAACCCCTTCTCCGCAAAGGATAGCCAAGCCCTGAATCCTCCAGTAGGGTACTTAGAGGATTCAAGGCCAAGCAGAACCATAGTGAGCTCTGGCTGTCACCCTGAAATATTCCTCGTACTATCCTTACAGCTCAAAATTAACTTAATATTTACGGGTAAGAGAAAAATTATGCAAAGATGAAGTATACAGTGCAATTTTAGTAGAATCCACTATTTACTTTTTTTCCATGATAATTTTCTGAAAGAATAAATTTTGTGAAGTAGGTAAATCAAAAGAACCAACTCAAAAGTTACAAATTAAAATAAATGGGCATCAGCACAATGTTAAACTGCACTAAGAGTTAAACACAAAACAGATATGACTATTGTGTATTAATTTAATTTTAACAATGACGTTTAATTCGAAACACAAAATATCCACAAACAATACTAACATTTATAAATAATTATCAAGCAGTTTCATACTTTTTGTAATTTATTATTCGCTTTGCAACTTGCAACCCAACCTTCAACACAAACTTGCATTCTATAAATACCGTAAAATCGATATCGATTCAACAACTATAGAATTACGGTACGGCTGCGTCAAGCACTAGTAGGCAAGCCGCCGGCCGCCATCTTAGGTCGACATTGTTGATTTCCTCACCAACGAAATGTGTATCCATTTCAACAAATAAACTGATTATTATGAGGACTTATTAAGTTTTTTTTGATTCTATAGTGATTACTTTATAATGGAAGAAGAATATAATATTGAAACGCAGGACCCAGTTGCGAACGATGTGGTAAACCGTGCTAATGAAGGAAATGAAAATTTAGTGGACAGTGCTAAAGATTTCGGTGATGTAGTGGCCTACGACGAGAATTACGAGGACGAGGAAGGTGGTAACAGCTTCCGTGGAGGCCGAGGACGCGGCAGCTTCAGGTAACAATATCCATTTTCACAAAAAAAGATGTACTTGAATGAGCCTACCATTACGACGTATTTTGCCCAATTTCTTGATAAGTTTTATGAAATTCACATTCTAGATAAGAAATTAATGTATAATTAACATTTTAAAATGTTATTTTATTGTATTGGCTCTTGAAATATGTGTTATTTTACTGTATTTGTTAAAAGACCTTGAATGAGTTGTGGGTGTTGGTTCTAACACTGCTGGCGTAAAGTTTTGCAAAAGTTTAGTGAAATAACGCCTCGTGATGGCAAAATTATAATTGAGACAGTATATTTTAACCCTTACGAACATAATCTTAGAACTGAAATACCATTTTCAGTACATCTGCTATGAATTAAAGAAATTATAGTCTAGGTGTTAATGCAATGCAATGCTCATTAACTATTATTGTAAAACCTGTATGCTTGACAATGTAATGCAAATTCTCATTCAATTGGCATCGCTCATGCAAGTTTCCCGCTCATCTCTTTTGACATAACTGTGTTTTAAACTTTCCCAGTATTTTTGACTTCCACAATACAGACTTAAAATTGACTAATTGGCTATTATCTGGTTATTAATTAGATTAAACTTGTAGTATTTAATAATATTACCCGTCATGGTATAACTACGCTTTAATTACACCCTAATAAGTGTAAAATACACATGTCCGAGCTACTCCATCACGGTTCTGTCAGATTCTTACTGACTAAACATCATCATCATTCATTATAACAGCCTATAAGTGCCCACTGCTGAGCAAAGCCTCTTCTTACATGAAGAAGGTTTGAGCATTAATCACAATTCTTGCTCAATGCAATTAGGTTGGCGATTACAAACTTACAATTAGAAATTATAAGCCCACGTTTCCTCAAGATGTTTTCCTTCACCGTTTGTCAGTGGCGTCTAGATAATCTTAGAAAATACATATAACTCTGAAAAAGTCACATTGGTACTATTCCGTTGGTAGGTTTAAATTGCAGTCAATAGATGATTTTTAAAGAATATTTAATCATCATCATTATCAACAGGCTATAAGTGTCCACTCCTGACCAAAGGCCTCTTCTCACATGGAGAAGGTTTGAGCATTAACCACTACGCTTGCTCAATGCAGGTTGGCGATTACAAACTTATAATTAGAAACTATAAGCCCAGGTTTCCTCACGATGTTTTCCTTTACCGTTTGTCACTGGCGTCTAGATAATCTTAGAAAGTACATATAACACGGAAAAAGTTACATTGGTACTTTGCCGTTGGGAGGTTTCGAGTCCGCACTCTCATGCATTAGAAGCAGGCGTCTTAAACCTCCGGGCCACCATGACACCATTCAGGAATATTTAATGCCACAGCATATTTCAATATGTTCGTTTTTGCTTTTTTTAAAGGGAAGGTAAAATTCAAATTCAAATCACTGCATCTATAGTGTGTACAGGGCGGTTTACAATTTTTGACATAATCTGTTCCAACTATAGGCCCTTTTGGGAACCGCAAACTCTACTTACAAAATAATAGAAATCATGAATATTATTTCAACATAATGTTAATTTCAATATTTAGCTTACAATCATTTAATTATTTTAAAATCTTATATATGTAACTAGCTTTTGCCCGCGACTTCGTACGCGTAATCCCCGTTCGTGATTTTCGGTAAAAAGTATAACAAAAATTTTGATTAAAAAGTATCCTATGTCGGTCTCCTGGCTCTAAGCTACCTCCCTACCAATTTTCAGCCAAATCTATTCTGCCATTCTTGAGTTATAACTGGTGTAACTAACACGACTTTCTTTTATATATATAGATTATCGTTAACAATTTATGTTTAAAGATACAAAACAAAAATTAAAATATTTCAACTTAATATGGCACTAAAATAATATCAAATACTATAATAACTACTTACATACTAGGTGGTTAGACAATATCCTTTAACTGTAATTGAAAACAAAAAAAACGTCTGATAAGCCATTAACAATGATAAAATTATACTTTGGCGATATCAAGATAATCCATACATGATCATTATTACCTGAATCCTTATAAATTACTGCACTCGCTCTGCGCGGCTCCTATTGATCATAGCGCGATGTTTATAGCCTATAGCAGTGTATCTCTAAGTTGTCTGGTCTACTATCTAAATCAAATTCCCAAACACAAGACCCGCCGCAGAAATGTCGTGTTCCGCACGCGCCTCAAAGAGCCATCAGACCACCACGGATGGGTTTCAATAGGGCTGATGCCGATACGGACCTGCGGAGAACCTAACGGGTTACCGGGGCTCCGGATCGAAGTGCAGGAGTAGGAACGGGGTGATTTTTAGTCAGTAAGAGTCTGACAATCCCTCCCGCCTCACCCAGGCGGGAGCAGTGATTCGATGATTTTCCACCCTTAAAAAAACAGGACCCAGCTTTAAAAAATTAAACCATTACCAACATGAAAAATTATAATGCATCTTTTTACAGACAAGGCCCACTAAAAATTCGTTTGCGACCCACCAAGCCCTGGCCTATAGTCTTCCCCGATAAATAGACTATCAGAATTTTTCAATTCGATCTAGTAGTCCTAGAGATTAGCGCATTCAAACAAATAAACGCGGTATTTGTACCTCTGTGTTGTAACCACAAACAATGTAACACGGTTTTATTTTGACAGAAGCAGAGGCCGTGGACCCCCGCCTGGCTGGATGAATGGGCCCCCTATGCGGTTCAGAGGACGCGGATACGGACCAGGAGGCCCCCCGATGCGTGGACGAGGATTCTTTAGAGGCCGTGGCGGCCCACGAGGTTTTGGGCCCAACAATGGACCTAATTTTGATAATAACTGGGGCCCGATGGGACCCCCACCGCCGGGTATGATGGGTGGGCCCCCGCCTGGTATGATGGGTGGACCCCCTCCGTTTGGGCCCCCGCCCGGTATGATGCCGCCCGGTGGTCCAATGGGTCCTCCTCCAAATATGATGGGTCAGCCACCGCCATTTGGTGGCCCGCCTGGCATGCCACCGCCAAATATGGTAAGAATTTTTATGTACACACACAAAAAAAACAGATTATCATCAATACACAACGATAAAAAAAAAATCAGATTATCATGGGTTCAGTTTCATTCTGCGCAGATTTAACAGTCAGTTCATACTGGTTTTTATAGTTTAATGTGAAGCCGTTTGTATATTAATAATATACGAAATGCTGGTAATTCTTAATTTTGTAATACATTCTGTACAATAATATGAAATAATTCTATGTTCAGCAACAGAACCCAGAGCTATGGGTAGAAACCAAGTCGGATGAAGGCAAGCCCTACTACTACCACGCTAGGACTCGGGAGACAACTTGGACCCGCCCACAGGAGGGCCCCAACTGCAAAGTTATATCACAAGCTGAAATGGAGGCCATGGTCGCTTCAGGTGAGGATATTATTAATTATCATGCATTTTATTTCATACTAGCTACTCCCGCGCGATGTTATCCGTTGGTCGGCTCCTGTTCATCGTAGCGTGATGTTTTATAGCCTTCGTCGACAAATGAACTATTCAATTCGAAGTAGTAGTTCCAGAGATGATTTTACCCGTGCCTTTGTCTGCGAGAATTAACAAAGTGTGTTATATGGGTTTTTGGATTTACGACGTCACTAAATAAACATTTTTCATCCCCTATTACATGGGGCTCAATATAACTAGTGAATAGTGGTTGTGGCATTGTATATATGGACTTCTGTTCGCTCCTATTATGTCGTCAAGTTTATTCGTCTAAGTATTTTACAATATATGAGGTTTCCAGTCAATGGATGACTCGTAAATAAGTGGTAATTGAGATCTATAAGATGCATTCCCTATTACATTATGGGACTCAAAATCTAAATTGTGAAAAGTGGGCGTTACATTGTGTATACCACTGTCTACCCCTTCTGGGGTTTATTTCAAGTTGTAAGAGTATGACGGATTGTCTTGACTCAAAAAGAGTTCTTGGGTTTTATGTCATCATTTCGTGCCCAGTAAATGGGTCGGTCTTGTCCATTAATTTTATTCTTTATAACAATGGGACAACAAATATGAAGTGAAGGAGGATGTCCGCCTACCCCATCGGAGGACGAAAGGTGTGTTACCACATAAATTAATAATACTAAACATATTTTCATGTTTTTGCCAATATAGGTATGGTTTTCCCAACAGGCGGTCCAATGAACATGGCGGGGCCCCAGCAAGTGCCTATGAACGGGCCCATGGGTGGCGGGGGCCCCATGGGCGGGCCGATGGGAATGATGCCTAACGGTGTAATGCCGAATGTGATGCCGCCTGGAGTACACAATGCACCCCCTCAAGGGAACGTGCCACCATTTATGTCGCAGCCACCCCCGTGGGTCAAAGAAGGAGGTGAGTTATTCTTTTTATTTCTAAATTAAATAATTTGTTTGGATTTTGTTTCTCACGACAGCATATCCATTCCCATCATATAGATGGTTGGTAGGCCACAACTGTGCGCTTCTCTCATAGATTTCTGCCTCGCACAGCAAAACTATGGAATGATCTGTCGTCGGCGGTATTTCCGAACCGATACGACCTTCATACCTTCAAGAAAAGAGTGTATTCCTTTTTAAAAGGCCGGCAACGCACCTGTGTACTCTGGTGTTGCGGGTGTCCATGGGCGGCGCTGATCGCTTACCATCATGTGATCCGTCTGCTCGTTTGCCTCCTATTCCATAAATAAAATGCAAAATACCAGTTTTCGATACAATAAAAAATCAATGCGTATATCAGTCCAGCCTCCTAGTTAGTAGGTTTTATTTACAGGCACAAAAATCATATCAGTAAATTGCTCAATTTCAATAGAAACAGGAAAGACAAACAAACCCACATTATAAGTCAAAGTCAAAATCATTTTTTTTCAATTAGACCAGGAAGGCACTTTTGAACGTCAACAAAAAAATTAAAGTGAAGCTATTTACTTATTCCAAGGTGTAGATTCATATGGAGAAGAACGAGCAAGAAACTCCTTAGGTTACTCTTTTTCAATTGGGCTTACAATTACCAAATGGGGATGATGACAGGGTATGGAAATTAAAAATATAATTAGTCCGTAAGTTAGGTAATGAAAAAATATTAGACACGTATTTTTTTATTTTGTCGTATAATAAAACAATACTTAGATAAAACGAATCAAAGTTTAAGAGTGGGGGCTAAAACGTCATTTCTTAGTATAAAATGTACTGAGAAGTGACGTCACGCGACATTTCAAATCAATATATCTTCGAAACTATTCGTTTCTGTGAGAAAATAAAAAATACGTGTCTAATGTTTTTAAATAATCTACCAGACGGACATTAAAATAAAAATTAGTCGTCTACCCTATTGTAATTTGAATTAATATTGTATTATTATTTGTTCAGGTGCAAAGGATAAAGAAGAAGAGAGTCCCGCGGAGAATGATGAGCTTCCTCCCGGAGAGAGCGCGCCCATACAACCAACTCCTAATGGTAAGTCATCAGCAACAACCGCGTGTGACATCCTTACTTCCTTACTATAATAATATTATAAATTGGAAAGTGAGTTTGTTTGTTTGTTCCGCTTTCACGCCGTAACTACTGAACCGATTGCTTAGAATTTTTGCAGACGTAAAGTTAGTAGTCTGGATTAAATAATAGGGTACTTTTTATCCCGGAAAAATTTTATATTCCCGAGGGAAAACAAAAGTATTGGTATAGATGGCGCTGTGTGTATTGGTATATGTCTCATAGGCTACTTTTTATCCTTTTGTGACGCGAGCGAAGCTGCGGGTAAAAGCTAGTTAAGATAATAATTTAAAAAACAAAATTGTATAGATAGTTCTCTTTCTTTGATTGAAGCAGCTGAAATAATGTAATTTTTTCCAGTAGAGCCAAATAAATATACTCTTTCTAGTGTCTTCACCAATACTTTTTTAGGGAACAGAGAGTAGAGTTGTCTAAGATCGGAAAAGGAGGATCCTCCGACCATGGTGCTTACTCTAGAAACCAATCTCAATGTCAATGCAATTTCAATTCAATAGTCTCAATAATTAATTAATGTCAAAACTATACAACCCTTATCGTAGCTGTTACAATAGTATTCAGAGTACGGAATATAAAGACAAACTCAATACCATTTAGTTCATTCAATATCTACGCAATACGGATACAATGGGCGCCAGTGTTGCAACTCAAAAGTACGAAATTTCAGAATACCAATGTCGATCGATCGGAATTGAATTTAAGAGTGAATTCAACCCCCAGGCGATGTGTTTCTGTCTGGCGGGCTTTCTGCCCAACCAATAAAATAGAGTGGACAATAATATCATAGAATAGAATAGTAACAGTTGTCTGACGTCGTCTCACCGTCCCCGACTGGCGGAGTGAGGTTATGCGATCCAAACCGATGCTTTACCGGTGTCTTATCTCTGCCTGCGACTGCAGGCGAGGCATTGGAGTAGTTGGGGCTAGTGCGCGGCCCGATGTGGTGTCAGGTCCGGTGGGTGGCGCCGCTAGGAGCCGCGCTCAAGCCGGGCCGAGCCAAAAACAGTTGTTTTTATCCGTGTTAATTCGCATGCAAACTTCACTTCAGATTAATTATGCTCATGATTTTGTCAATATTGTAAGATTTTTAACTTTTATTCTTATATAAAAACTGTCATAGATGCTTGAATGACAACACTAATACTAGATTGTACTTTATCGTAAATCTCTTTTCACAGGTAACATGTTCCCGGGCCCCAACAACGGTCCCCCGGGCGCGGGTGGTCCGGGCCCCGGTGTGTCGGGTCCCCCCGGGTACGGTGGGTATCCGGGGGCCGGGTACCCCCCGCCGGGATGGCCCGGCTGGTCCAACTGGCCCCCTCCACTCGTGGGACAACCACCACCTAATATGAATAATGCTCCTGCTACTGATAATAGTAAGTTTAATCCCTAAAAGCCCCGACATTTATCTTGAAAGCGCCGCGTTAGGCGGATAGGTCCCTTGACCACGCCCTTGCGTGATACAGAAGGCAGTTCTCCTAGAAACGGCACGTATCGTGATGAGGTTTCTGTCTCTGGAGCCCTAACCACCGGTAGCTTGGACCATGCTCCCGCTACTGGTCGGCTCCTATTTTTATATCTTTTTTGGCAGTAGAATTTAAAAATGTAATTATAGAGAATCCTTACTTCCTTACTTATATTATAAATCGGAAAGTGAGTTTGTTTGTTTGTTTGTTCTACTTTCACGCCGTAACTACTAAACCGATTGCTTTGAAATTTTGCAGACGTAAAGTTAGAAGTCTGGATTAAATAATAGGGTACTTTTTATCCCGGATAATTTTGATGTTTCCGAGGGAAAACAAAAATATTGGTATAGATCGCGCTGTGTGTATTGGTATATGTCACATAGGCTACTTCTTATCCTTTTGTGACGCGAGCGAAGCCGCGGGTAAAAGCTAGTTTTAAATAAATACGTGGAAATAGTAAGTTTGTTGAATTAACTCAATAATAACAATCTTGACATCAAAACAATAATTAATTAAGGTTGTTATTCGATATAAATTATTTTTAAACGATTTAAAAAAAAGAATGTTCTCAATTTCATCTATATGTTAGTCCGCGATCATCTTTCGATTGGCTGTACTGATTTTGACGTGATTTACGAAGTGTTTATTTATTTAATTCAATTAGCTACAACAGTTGAACAATTCGAGTCCCGCACGGGACAACACTTTGTGTGATCCACAAATTGTCTGTTCCCGGTCTGGGTGTCATGTGTATGTGAACTTGTATGTTGGTAAACGCACACACGACATAGGAGAAAATCCAAGTGTTTAAAAAGAAGTACACCGGCTAACATATTTAAGTAATAAACATAAAAATCTTCTGTAATATAAAAATGAATCGCTAAATGTGTTGCTTTTCTCTCTCTAATTTCGAGAACTGCTTAACCGATCTCGCTTATAAGCGAACAGTCTTATGTTAGAAAAAAATAACAAAAATGCGTTGTAAACATTTATGGCGCCGACTTGTAACCTATCAGTGGGTGGGTAACCTATCAGTACTAATAATAGTTATTTTTTGCTTTTAATTTTGACTTTTTGTTTGTTATTAGTTTTTCGTTTTTCGAAGTCAATGTTTTATGATATGAGTATAGTAATTGACAAACAAAGAAAAATAAATAAACAATCAGCCGAACATAGTACCTCCTCCTTTCTTTGACATAGTACCGCCTCCTTTCTTTGACATAGTACCGCCTCCTTTCTTTGACATAGTACCGCCTCCTTTCTTTGACATAGTACCGCCTCCTTTCTTTGACATAGTACCGCCTCCTTTCTTTGACATAGTACCGCCTCCTTTCTTTGACATAGTACCTCCTCCTTTCTTTGACATAGTACCTCCTCCTTTCTTTGACATAGTACCGCCTCCTTTCTTTGACATAGTACCGCCTCCTTTCTTTGACATAGTACCTCCTCCTTTCTTTGACATAGTACCTCCTCCATTCTTTGACATAGTACCGCCTCCTTTCTTTGACATAGTACCGCCTCCTTTCTTTGACATAGTACCGCCTCCTTTCTTTGACATAGTACCGCCTCCTTTCTTTGACATAGTACCTCCTCCTTTCTTTGACATAGTACCTCCTCCTTTCTTTGACATAGTACCGCCTCCTTTCTTTGACATAGTACCGCCTCCTTTCTTTGACATAGTACCTCCTCCTTTCTTTGACATAGTACCTCCTCCTTTCTTTGACATAGTACCTCCTCCTTTCTTTGACATAGTACCGCCTCCTTTCTTTGACATAGTACCTCCTCCTTTTTTTGAAGTCGGGAAGTACACTTTTTAACTTGATATTACGTTTACAGATACTAACGCCCAGCCACTGGCCGGTCGCCCGACCAGTCCATCGTCAGAGCCGACCATCATCTCGGACTCCCCCACTCCACTGCAACAACCACCCAAGAAGGAGGAACTTGTGAGTACTAGCTTCTGCCCCCGGCTTCGGCCGTGTTCGCGTCGAAAAAAAAATAGCCTTTGTGTTATCCCAGATTATAATGTACCCCTGTTTCAAATTTTATCCTGATCCCTTCAACCTTTTTGAAGTGAATGAGTAACAAACATACAAATTTTCCCATTTTTTATCATTCATCGGTTTTATTTAGCTTGCCCCGTGTGTTTGTCTGGGTCTGTAGTAATTGTAATGTCACCCCCTTCCTGGCGACAGATCGATCTAATATTTGGTACACACTCTTAATCTTGATGACCATACAATATAATCTAATTGTTTCCACAACTACCTCCATTATTGATATCAAACGACACGGCTTGATTGGTAGAATAGAGCTTGTTGAAACCGTTTAACATAAAAACATGTGTTACTTGTATAATACACATGACATGACTCTTTTTATCCCCGAAGGTATATAGGTGCACATTACGGCACTTAATGCCACTGTACAATGTAACACCCACTTTTCACTATTTATGTTATGAGTCCCATGTAATAGGGGGTGAGCCTATTGCTATATAGCGGGCACAATTCCAGACTCCGTGCTACTACTGAGAATATTTTAAAAACCCAGTAGTACTTATTATAATAGGTATTAGATATTATAATATAATTATGTTTATTTATGTTTACCTCTGAAATATGTAAGTGTATCTATTGTGTATCTGCTCACACCATTAACTCTTCTCTGCATCACCCAAATAAATAAATAATACTCTGCCCGACTTGGGAATCGAACTCGCGACTCCTTGCCGAGTCGCCCTAGCAACCACTCGGCCGAGGCAGTCTGTGTAATATAGTATTAGTAAAATATGACGCTGTATAAAGCTGTATGTGTGTATATCCCAGGTGATAACTCCCGAACTAATAGCGGCGGCGGGAGAATGGACGACGCACCGCGCCCCCGACGGGCGCCCCTACTACTACAACGCGGGGAAACAAGAGTCCGTCTGGGAGAAACCTAAACCCATGAAGGAACTTGAAGGTAACCACCTCACATGTCACCATCAACAGCCTATTAACCACCACTGCCGACCTAAGCCCTCTTCTCACACGGAGAAGGTTTGAGCATTAACCACCACGCTTGCTCAATGCGGGTTGCGATTTCAAACTTATAATTAGAAATTATAAGCCCAGGTTTCTTCACGATGTTTTCCTTCACCGTTTGTTAGTTGTGTCTAAATAATGTTAGAAAGTACATATAACTCGGAAAAAGTCACATCGGTACTTGCTGTTGGTAGATTTCGAGTCCCCACCCTCATATACGAGAAGCGGGCGTCTTAAACCTCTGGGCCACTGTGTCTATCCTTACTTATATTATAAATCGGAAAGTGCGTTTGTTTGTTTGTTTATTTGTTCCGACTTCACGCCGTAACTACTAAACCGATTGCATTGAATATTTGCAGACGTAAAGTTAGTACTCTGGATTAAATAATAGGGTACTTTTTATCCCGAAAAAATTTGATATTCCCGAGGGAAAACAAAAGTATTGGGTATAGATGGCGCTGTGTGTATTGGTATATGTCACATAGGCTACTTTTTATCCTTTTGTGACGCGAGCGAAGCCGCGGGTAAAAGCTAGTACTCTATACACTTAGATATAATACGGATATGAAAATTAAAAACCGATTTAGTCCGACAGTTAGGTAATGAAAAAATATTAGACACTTATTTATTTATTTTGTCGTATAAGAAAACAATACTTAGATATAACGAATCAAAGTTTAGGAGTGGGAGCTAACTACGCCATTTCTACGTATAAAACGTACACAGAAGTGACGTCACGCGCTATTTCAAATCAATATATTGTCGAAAGTATTTGTTTCTGTAAGAAAATAAAAAATACGTGTGTAATGTTTTAAAATAATCTACCAGACGGACATTGGAATAAAAACTATATATTTTTTACACAGAGTTGCGAGCTAAAATAGCGCTGGAGAAGGGCGAACCGATTGAGAAGAAAAATGATAAGAAAATGGATGTCGATGACAGCAAGATTGAGGGTCAGTGTCCTTTGTAGTATATTAAAGTTATTTCCATTGTAGTCTGCGAAAGGACAGTGGGCAAAATACACCCAGCTCCGCCACGGCTCAAACTACTTCTGGTTGAAAGGCATCACAGCCATGGTTCACTGTGTCAAAGTTCGTCGAATTCTGTCCCGGGGGCTCAAAGTCAAAAGCAATATTTATTTATTTCAATTAAACCATAATTTGGTACTTTGGAAGTGTGCACAAATCTATATATATAAAAGAAAGTCGTGTTAGTTACACCACTTATAACTCAAGAATGGCAGAATAGATTTGGCTGTAAATTGGTAGGGAGGTAGCTTAGAGCCAGGAGACCGACATAGGATACGACATAGGATTAACCAATTTTTTTTTACTTTTTACCGAAAATCACGAACGGGGACGGGAAAAAATGGGAATACGCGTACGAAGTCGCGGGCAGAAGCTAGTTTAAAATAAATAATAGTCTTTCAGTCGGTCCGTCAGTGAATCTAGGCTAGTTAGGTTCATTGTATATTCGATTTTTGTTCGATCTAGTTGCAAGTTTCTTAATACGAGAACTTCGGGACAGAAACTGACGAGTTGTAATTAACACGACTTTCTTTTATATTTAAAGATTCACTATCGTATATATTTTTTTCTAAATAAATAATATTTTGTTATAACAGTAATCGATGTCGAAGCTCATGCAGAGGCCCAAGCGGCTGCAGAAGCCGAGCGCGCCGCGGCCGCCGAGCGAGCTCGCCGCGCGGCCGAGCCAGCAGCTCGCCAGGACGAACCTCGCCACGAGGACAAACCCGCGGCAGCCGGCGACAATAAGGACAAGGACAAAGAGAAGGAAAAGGACAAAGCCAAGCAGGACCGCAGCCGACCTATATCCAGCACGCCTATATTAGGGACGCCATGGTATGTCATTCATTCTTTAAGTACGAGGTATTCTGTTTGACCACACAGAGCATCTATTTCTTAGGATATTCAACCTCTCGCGCCGTTTCACTCGCTCTGCTCGGCTCCTATTGATCGTAGCGTGATGTTTTATGACCTATAACCAATAACCAATGAGCCAAACGCCACCTTAGCGCTTGTCTACAGAGAGAGTAGAAATCAAAATGTATGGGGATGACACTGACTAGTGACAACATTTACGGCAATTCCATATAATTCAGTTTTCTATTCTACAAGTAGACAAGCGCTAAATGGCATTTGGCTACAGCTGCTGGATTGCCGCCGCGTACCGTTGGTTTTTGTGTCTGAATAAGCCAGGGGGCCTTACTCTTCAATCCAATTCCGATTGATCGACATTGGTCGAGGTGCACATTATGCTACTGTACAATGTAACATCTGCTTTTCACTATTTATGTTATTAGTCCCATGTAATAGGGGGTGAGCCTATTGCCATATACCGATATATTGAATAATTGTTGAGTTTTTATTGTATTGAAATTGCATTGACATTGAGATTGGTTTCAAGAGTAAGCACCCTGGTGTACACGGCACGAACTAGTTTAGAACATTTGCGTTGCGGGCGGCTCGCGTCCGCCCCGCCGCCGTGCCTGCATGGCAGTTAGTATTGTAAGTTTCCATACCCGAGTTGAAGCACATGTTGTGACTGTCGCAGGTGCGTGGTGTGGACGGGCGACGGGTCGGTGTTCTTCTACAACTCGGCCGCGCACTCGTCCGTCTGGGAGCGGCCCGCGCTACTGCTGGGCCGCGCCGACGTCGACAAGGCCGTCAGCCAGCCGCCGCCCGCGCTGCTGGAGCTGCAGGTACTGTTTGTATATATCGCACTCGTCCGTCTGGGAGCGGCCCGCGCTACTGCTGGGCCGCGCCGACGTCGACAAGGCCGTCAGCCAGCCGCCGCCCGCGCTGCTGGAGCTGCAGGTACTGTTTGTATATATCGCACTCGTCCGTCTGGGAGCGGCCCGCGCTACTGCTGGGCCGCGCCGACGTCGACAAGGCCGTCAGCCAGCCGCCGCCCGCGCTGCTGGAGCTGCAGGTACTGTTTGTATATATCGCACTCGTCCGTCTGGGAGCTCTTTAAAGTCGTCCCGTTGATCTTGTGAATTTCATCAATTATTATACTAATTTGGCACCCAAATTCTTTATAATTTTGATTGGCACCATCGAAATTTATACAGACTAAGCACATCAAGCTGCACAATAGACTTTATTGTTTTGTGAATACTGTCGAAAATACATTAACTCGTACACAATCACCTGATATATATCCCCATAATTTGTTCATACAAAAGTAGTCTCTGAACATCGTAAATAAGGTCTATAATAGAGTTCGTAGAGAGAGGACCGGTGACTGCTTGGGGATTGATCAGTTGAATAAGTCAGCGAGAATCTTGATATGCTTGTGTCTGTACTAGAAAATTTTTAATCATTTCATTTTAACAAACTTAATCAAAGACATTGAATTATTACTAAAACTCGATTTGAAAGTATCGATTTTGTTTCGAAAACAATAGGGCAGTTGTCAGGGAAAGAAAATTATAAATTTAAAATAATAATTTTGAGCTAGCGAGTACATTAGACGTATTTTTGAGATTTATTTGTAACTTATACATAACATAACATCACGCTTTCACCCCCGATGGGATAGGCAGAGGTGCAGATTACGGCACTTAATGCCATTGTACAATGTAACACCCACTTTTCAGTATTGATGTTATGAGTCCCATGTAATAAGGGGTGAGCCTATACCGGGCACAATTCCAGACTCTATGCTACTGCTGAGTTTTTTTTCAAAAACCCAGAAATACTTTGCTCGACCTGGGAATCAAACCCGAGACCCCTTGCCCTGTCACACTCTCGACTACTCGGCCAACGAGGCAGTCTGTTACTTATATATTAACTTTAAAACGTAATATATGGCAATCGACTCGCCCCCTATTACATGGGACTCATAACATAAATAGTGAAAAGTGGGTGTTACATTGTATACATGTTCACCTCTGTCTACCCCGTAACAGTACGGTTAATGTTCTTGCTCAACTCCTAAGCTAAGCGAACGCCTTTAAGTTAAATGAGGTATTTTAGCGCCGATAGAGGCGCTGGTGTCGTTTAAGATCTACTAGATCAATAATTTTGTATTTTAAAAAGTCTTTATATAATAACAGCTATTTTAATGTCCTGTGCTTCAACCGAGCATACAATGCTATAACACTAACACGAGCTTAAACGTCTCCACCGCCATCTATGATGTGCGAAAATTAAATTCTATAGGCTTTTGTTCCCATAGCGTTGCGAATTTCATTAATTTAGTTACATTGTACTTGTGTGTGCTATGGTGGGTAGAAATGACAATTGAAGGGAAAAATGATGAGGATGTATCGTGTGCGAGGTATTGTTTAGTGAGTACAAGGTTATTAGGTATGGATATATTAGAAAAAAATCACTAAGTCAAAATTAATTATTTCGGCTTACTCACGTAACTGTTTGACGAGGTACTCGACTAGTTTCAAGCCATGCTAGAGGCTCATATTTCGCGTAGCGGGTCGCGGTATGCTGCTTATGAATTTTTTTTAAACGTTGGCCCACACTAGGATTTTCTCCTGTGTCGTGCGTGCGTTTACAAACATACAATATCACAGACACATGACACCCAGACCCGAAACAACAATTTGTGAATCACACAAAGAGTTGCTCCGTGCGGGAATCGAACCCGCTACACGTTGCGCGGCAATTGGTTGCCCAACCACTGCACTACCGTGCAGTCAATGAGCCTCTACTGAAACTAGTCGAGTTAGTTATTACTTACATAACATAACAACACGCCTTTTTATCCCCGAAGGGGTAGGCAGAGGCACACTTTTCGGCACTTAATGCCACTGTACAATGTAACACCCACTTTACACTATTTATGTTATGAGTCCCATGTAATAGGGGGTGAGCCTGAAAATGTGCCCGAAATATTAGCCTCTAGCATGGCTTGAAACTAGTCGAGTACCTCGTCAAATAATAACGTGAGTAAACCGCAAAACAGTATTATTAATTTACTATGTCGCACTCACAAATTTATAATATAAATGGCTAGATTCGTCGGAATATTTTCTCCGCTGCTTATTTCTACCCTTCATAGTATTTCATTCATGTAAATTATTATCTATTGAAGATTTAATAAAAAAGTAGATAAATATGTCGCAAACTACTTTCGAGTGGTCATGGGTCAGATTCTCGAGTAGTCCTATTCTGCTAAATATACCACGGATGGGGCCCAACAGGGCTGATGCCGGTTCAGAGTCGCGGAGAACCTAACGGTTACCGGGGCTCCGGATCGAAGCGCAGGAGAAGGAACCGGGTGGTTTTTAGTCAGTAAGAGTCTGACACTCCCTCCCGCCTCACCCAGGCGGGAGCAGCCATTCGATGAATTTCCCCCCTTAAACAAAAAATCCTGCTAAATGTTCCGACAAAAGTTCTAAAGTAATATTGTATCAATTAGGACTACTCAGGGTGGGTCGGAAACTGGACGAAACGAGTCTGTCGTCCTCAACACCTCGTGAAGCCGGTATTCAATACCCCTGATTCTACACGAGCCGTGGAACAAGTACTTCAATATACGTACATTGTTATGCATGGATATTATTACAGTAGAGACTTGATTACTCGGACCAATTATTGAATTACTAGCTTTTGCATTCGGCTTCGTGCGATATAAAGCTTATGTGTTAGTCCAAATGAAATGTGGAACAAGGGTAGATTCCTTGTTCCACATTTCATTCATCCCTTCAGCCGTTTTGAGGTGATTTTCTTGTACACTACCCGAATCCTCCACAATCCTCAAATTCCCAATTTCCAAAAGGCCGGTAACGCACTTGTAACGCCTTGGTGTTTCGGGTGATCCGTCAGCTCGTTTACCGGCTTATGCTATAAAAAAAACACTTTGAGCAAAGATACGGAGCCATTAGCGTTTTTTTTTGTATTCTATAGAATAAATGTTCCTCTTATAACAATATACTCTCATTTTGAAGGTAACTAAATCGTCTTTTGTACGACATACGTTCATCATCATCAATAGCCTATTCTCGTCCACTCCTGGACATTTGCCTTCCCAACGACACGCCACTGAGCTGCATCTTCAGCTCTACGCTTCCAACCGCTACCAGCCACTTTGCAGATGTCGTCACTCCACCTAGCTGGAGGGCGCCCTACACTACCTTTGCCTAAGCGCGGTCTCTCCTCCAAAACACGTCTACCCCAACGGTCATGTCGCGGAGAACCTAACGTTTCCTATATGCCAATCATTAAAATACTTACACAGAAATTATTTAGTAATAAATGAAAAAGAAAAGAAACTGCCTCGTTGGCCGAGTGGCCGCAGGTGCGACTGCTGGCCAAAGGGTCTCGGGATCTATACACAGGCGTCCTGCCTGTGTATAGATCCCGAGAGAAAGTACATCTAGGGTTTTTAAAAAATTCTCAGTAGTAGCACGAAGTCTGGAATTGTGCCCGGTATATGGAATCACCCCCTATTACATGAGACTCATAACATAAATTGTAAAAAGGGGGTGTTACATTGTACAGTGACATTAAGTGCACCTCAACCTATCCCTTCAGGGATGTCGCGGAGAACCTAACGGGTAACCGGGGCTCCGGCTCGACGTGCAGGAGAAGGAACGGGGTGGTTTTTATTCAGTAAGAGTCTGACACTCCCTCCCGCCTCACCCAGGCGGGAGCAGTCATTCGATGATTTTCCCCCCACAAAAAAAATCCGTTCAGGGATAAAAGGCGTGGTGTTATGAAAAAGAAAAAGCGCTAGTGGCTCCATCGCTTTGCTACCAAGTGTAATTACGAGGACACGGGACGTGATCACAGTTGATGCTTCGAATTTGACAAATTCTTTTTGTGTTGGATAGTTTATCGAGGAATCACGCTACGGATTCGAAAAGCGAGAGAAACCGCGCTACAATAGCTTGTATCTCTTATATCTAAGGTCCAAGTAAAACGGTCTCCACTGTATAATATATAAAGATATTATAGTCATAATTATATTAGCAAAATAAGGGACGATTGTGTAAGAGAAAAAGTACCTACCTTCATACCTGTATCTAATGGGGGTAGACAGAGACTATGGAACGCCAATTGCTACGATTCCTACTTACCACTTTCGCTTCATCGACAGTCATCAGCCTTTTCATGCATGCTCGTCGGTTGGCCCTTCTTTAATATATCGCCAATCTGATCGATATATATCCGTATATGGCGCTCTCTACCGTGAAAAAGTATGATTAAAATAAATAAAAACATTTGCCGTTCTACTAGATTGAGAGATTTTAACTCTTTCGCCTCCATGAATTATATTTCCACCATTTTTGTGGGCGCCATGTTTGAAACAATCGTTTGTATTTATTTCTGGATTTGATTCTGTAATCCCATTAATTTTGACGTTGTATTGTCATTATATCGTTCTCACATATATTTTTGTACAATAAGTAAAGGATCAGATAATGTATCAATGCTAAACAGTTTTTTTTAAAATAAGTAACGATGCATTCGAAACTACACTTTGAAACGACCGCCTAGCTTCACTGACAGACGGACGGACAATTAAACTTTGTCTAAAAGTGCCTAAATAAGGTTTAATTGAAATAAATGCTTTAATTTTGGCATCCCTTACACAGTCACCCTTAAAAATGTTATAATATATACTATGACATGTATTTACACACACATAGAAATTGCTGTGCGATATTTTGTTGAGTAACATTTTTTTGAATGCGTAATGCGTATACAATCCTATAATTTTTTTTCCTTATAAAAAAAAGGTTGCTCCACACTAGGATTTTCTCCTGTGTCGTGGGTGCGTTTACAAACATACAATGTCACATACACATGACACACAGACCCGAAACAACAAATTGTGAATCAAAGAGTTGCTCCGTGCGGGAATTGAACCCGCTACACGTTGCGCGGCAGCCGGTTGCCGAGCCACCGGGCCAATCGTGCAGTCTTTTATTTTTAATCGGGATTTGATATATTTATTTAGATGGTTACTTTAGTATCTATGACGTTTTCTAGGTAATAATTCATTAGACTGCCTCGTTGGCCGACTGGTTACAAGTGCGACTGCCGGGCAAATGGGTTTAGGGTTCGATTCCCGGGTCGGGCAAAGTATTATTGGGTTTTGTAAAATAAAATTCTCAGTAGTAGCACGGAGTCTGGAAATTGCCCGGTATATGGCAATAGGCTCACCCCCTATTACATGGGACTCGTAACATGAATAGTGAAAAGTGGGTGTTACATTGTACAGTGGCATTAAGTGCCGTAAATCTGCTGATCTCTTCGGGGATACAAAGCGTAATGATAATCTGATAATCCTAATTTCATCTCGATCCCTTCAGCCGTCGTGACTGAGTAACAAACATACACACAAACTTTGTATTTACTATTTATAATATTAAGTAAGAAGATAATTGTACCAATATTTACTGACTTCCAAAAAGTAGAAGGTATTGATTTTTTCTCCTTTTTAAATTATAGAACTATGAAAAAAAGTTACTCAACAGAAATGGAACTATGTAGTTATGCTAGCGATATGCGAATCATCACGGCAGCTTTGCGTGTGTAGGTAGACAGGAATGGCTAACGCAATTTTATTATTAGTATTATTATTTTATGCGAATGTCTAGTATACAGGGTGTAAATGGAACTGTGTTTTTATAATAACTATCGTGAGGCGTACTAAATTAACTAAACATCGCGGGTACCCTGCGCGACAACGCAGCGACCGCGCACGCTGCTCATGAGGAAGAACCCCTCTGTGGTTCGAAACTAGTAGAGCTTTTCTTAGTATATTCACGTGAGTAACCCGCGATTTTAAATTAATGTAAATGAAACAAACTCTCCCGAAAAACACCGCCGACAGTTGATAGTCAAAAAGGAGTTTTATTTTCATAAAAATAAGGAATTAAATGTATCTTTTATGTAACAATAGTTGTAATCAACTGCTCATGAAAACAAAAACGATTACAATTGGGTAGTTTCCAGGGTATCAAAATTAAAAACCTAATTAGTCCGTCAGTTAGATAATGAAAAAATATTAGACACGTATTTTTATTTTCTCGTATTAAGTTGCAATACTTAGATAAAATGGCGCAAGTTTAGGAGTGGGAGGTCGTTACGTCACAACGTGCTACAAAATGTGACAGGCTGTGACGTCACACGATATTTCAAATCAATATATCGTCGAAAGTATTTAATTTTGTGAGAAAAGAAAAAATACGTGTGTAATGTTTTAAAATAATCTACCAGACGGACATTGAAAGGAAATTATATTGTAAATACTGTTTCTTTTGTGAGCCTTTTGGAAGCGTTCCGTTTACATCCAGTATTATATCATTTTATATTGTTTTTTGTTATTATTGTCTGTGGTGAACGGTTAGAGAATTGGACAAAAAGGTTTGATTTTTTTATTTAGTCTTGTCACTAATAGACCGGTCATCTTGAATTGTATTTAACTACGTCGTCCCAGCTGTTTCTCTCCAGTGCTCAGGATTAAAAAGTAGCCCATGTGTTATTCCAAACTATAATATAATTAGTTTCAGATCCATAACATAGTATCACGCCTTTAATCCCCGAAGGGATAGGCAGAGGTGCACATTACGGCACTTAATGCCACTGTACAATGTAACACCCACTTTTCACAATTAATGTTATGAGTCCCATGTAATAGGGGGTGAGCCTATTGCCATATACCGGGCACATTTCCAGACACCGTGCTACTACTGAGATTTGTTTTTTAATAATAACCCAGTAATACTTTGCCCGACCCGGGAATCGAACCCAAGACCCCTTACCCCTTTGCCAACGACCGTTCGGCCAACGAGGCAATTTCAGATCTGTTGACTTTTTGTGTGAAAGAGACGACATGTGTACATTTATGTACATTCTCACAAACTATTACATTTACAAATATTACAAAACCGAAAGTATTTGTGTTTGTGTGTCTGTTTGTCTCTTAATTACGTGAACATGGCTGGAGGGATCGGGATTACATTTGGAACAGGGCTAATTATAATCCGGGATAACACATAGGCTACTCTTTCTCCTACAGAAGCGCGGGCGAAGCCACTGACTATAATATTAATTACCGCGGACTAGCTTTTCACCACAGCCATAATTTTTTATTACCTTGCTTAAATTAGGGTGTTATATTTAGTTGCTAAGCGCCCTCTATGCAAACTATTGTGTACTATAGTTGTAGTTACAAAGTATGACGGGCAGAATGTTCCTACCGACCAATACCGACCAGACGTATGTCGTTAGATAGCTCTTATCATGACTACCATTTGTTATTATGGGGGCTAGTCTCAATTCGCTATGGGGAACATGTTAGAGTTACTTAATTGATATGTATTTAACCCGTCGAGCGTCCGCGTTCCTTATGATCCAATGGGGGCACACGTGACATTTGGAGAAAGAAAGAAAATGCATTTATTTGGCCATTGGCACACGAAAACAAGGATCATTACAATAGAAATAAAAAATACAGTCAAAATAAAAACAAAACATTAATAATAGATTTTATAAAAGAGAAAGCAGCATGGAGCATTTTTTCTTATAGTTATGATCCACCGGGTGCTCATAAGGACGCTCGAGCGGTTAAGGACATTGAGTAATGTTGGGCCCCTAAGATACCCCTCTATGGATAGGTGTTCTTATGCAGAACAAAATTTCATATTACGACTAAGGACAGGTCTGGTCGTTATTGGTCGGTATTTACATCTCTCATACATGATTGCCGGTCATCCTATAATTAATAAATAACTTAGTCCTACCTCGTTTGTCGAGCTATGGGCAGTGGCGTAACTATACCGTTTAGAGTCCGTGACAAATTCATCGGATGAGACCCCGTTCTCAATATAACAGAGGAGTTCGGATGAAAATCTTCTGATAGGGATCCTCATCCCTGCCCGGGGCATTTTGATGACTTTTTTTTTAATAAATAATAAATTGAATTTCTCCACGGACTCGTGTCCGTGCCCTTGTCATGTTACAAGTACATAATTGTCATGGTCAAATATATTTTTTTTTATAAATATCTTACATGCTACGCCTACCACTATCACTACACACAATACTTTATGTTGTTACCTAATTATTATAGTCTTATTAACTTAGACTAACCCTACTGAATCAGCCCACCAGCACGATGAACGAGCCGACTTGTTCCAGCAGAAGGCACCCGTTCACGGTTATGACGTGTAGGCCAGCAATCGGATTTTTATGACTTGCCACCCTGTAGTTACGCCACTGGTTATGGGGTCTCGATTCTTGAGATATCGAGGCTAGAGATGACAAACAAACACTGGGCCAATCCGCTATAGTCAACAAGAAAACGTCACTTACTTACATGTTATTTATTAATTATTATGTTTCCAGCTTTGTCGCAATTGTTTGACGAGGATTTCGACTAGCATAGGCTTCTAGTATGGCTTGAAACTAGTCGAGTTCCTCGTCAAACGGTTACGTGAGTAAATCGATAATATAATAATTTATTTACTGCCTCACGAAAGCCATTTTATTTGTTGTCTACAGCAGACGTGGTTTTAAAGTACATTTAATATCATCATATAATAATGTTTTTCCATACGTTTGTTCTAGCGAAAGGACGCGGCGGCGGCCTCGGGTAACAAGGCGGCTAACGGCGAGCTGAAGCGAACTGCTGAGCCCAACACCGAAGAAGCTGATGCTGCCAAGAAGACTAAGGTTGATGATGGTACGCTGCTGTTTTATTACTTCGTATTTTTCTGCTGCCTACCTGCTGCTCTCTGCCTCGTTGGCCGAGTGAGTGCGACTGCCGGACAAGGGGTCTCGGGTTCGATTCCCGAGTCGAGCAAAGTATTACTGGGATTTAAAAACATTTCAGTAGTAGCACTGAGTCTGGAATTGTGCCCGGTATATGGCAATAAACTCTTCGCCTATTACATGGGACTCAGATCATTAATAGTGAAAAGTGAGTGTTACATTGTGCAGTGGTATAATGTGCACCTTTTCCTACCCCTTCGGGGACTAAAGGCTGATGTTATGTTATGAACAGTCGAAATAATTTATTTTTGATTATGGAAAGTATCCAATTGTTCCGCGCGAGAATCGAACCCGCTACACGCGTTGCCCAGCCAGCGCACCAACCATAGTCGAGTAATGACACTAATAATACTCGTGTACTACAGAGAAGCCCGCGCACAACTCGCTGTCGGGCGCGGGCACGATCCTGGTGGGCGCGGCGGCCGCCGTGGAGGCCGAGGTGCGCGCCGCGCGCGAGCGGGGCTCGCTGCCGCACCCGCAGCGCTTGGCCGCCTTCCTGCGCATGCTGCAGGAGAAGGACGTCTCCGCGTTCTCCACCTGGGAGAAGGAGCTGCATAAGATCGTCTTCGATCCAAGATATCTCATGTTGAACTCGAAGGAGAGGCGACAGGTGAGGAACTAAACACTTCTTGTTAATAATATTAGGTCAAATATGAACGAACTAACAGACATACGGACAATTTAATTTTTGACGTTTCATTCGGGTTCAATCCTCGGTCTAAATGTTTCTTTTAACAGAGCTCCGGCTCGATGTGCAGGAGTAGGAACGGGGTGTTTTAGTCAGTAAGAGTCTGACACTCCCTCCCGCCTAACCTAAGGCGGGAGAAGTCATTGGATGATTTTCCCCCTCAAAAAATAAAAAATCTGACACTCTCGCCTCACCCAGGGCATGAGAAGACATTAGATAATTTTCAACGTATCCCATAATAGCTACAACACAATCATGATAACACTTGTTATATATTAATCCCAGGAATCCAGGTCCACCTAGGTCTCCTAGTCCCTAACAAATACTTGTGTCTTCCTCAGGTGTTCGACCAGTATGTGCGCGACCGTGCCGAGGAGGAACGCAAGGAGAAGAAGAACAGACTCCAGCAGAAGAAGGTCGCCTTCAGGGCGCTCATGGACGAGGCCAAGCTGCACTCCAAGTATGTAAACTTGTACTTCTGTCAGCGACTTTGCCCGCGTTCCTGTGGCATATAAAGAAGCCTATTTGTTATTCCACACCATAATCTACGCTTATTCCAAATTTCATCCCGATCTCTTCAGCGGTTTTGACGTGTTTGAGCAGCATTATTGTTATTATTGCCTGTATAATATTAGTTAGATAATATTAATTTTCTTGTCCAGGTCATCGTTCAGTGAGTTTACGTCGAAGCACGGTCGGGACGAGCGCTACAAAGGTATAGACAAGGCGCGCGACAGGGAGACGTACTTCAATGAATACCTCGCCGAGCTGAGGAAGAAGGAGAAGGAGGAGAAGGATAAGGCCAGAGAACAGGTCAGTGGGGGGAACCGGGCTAGACGGGGGAGTGGGACAGCAGGGGGGACGGGGTAGTGTTGTCGATGTGGCGGCAAAGGTCTAGCTGTAAAGGTATTTTACAAGTTACAATGACACCGACTCATTATATATAATTACTAGCGGACCCGACAGACCTTGTCCTGCATATCCACTTGAATGTATAAACAAACATTCATTCAAATTAGTTCAGCCGTTTAGGATAAATAACCTAGACACCGACTGCAGCGCCATCTGCCGGGCTGATTTTTAAATCTAAACCATCCATGAGTAGAATGATGATTAATAATAAACAAATTCGATCCAGTAGTTCAGCTCGTTCAAACACAAACTTATCAGCTTTATATATTAAAGTACTAGCTCGCGGTTTATCTTTCACTCGCTGCTGATGATCGTAGCGTGATGTTTTATAGACTATAACCTTCCTCGGTAAATAGACTAACATATCATAACATCACGCCTTTTGTAGTCAGAGAACATTACGGCACTTAATGCCACTGTACAATGTAACACCCACTTTTTACTATTTATGTTATGAGTCCCATGTAATAGGGGGTGAGCCTATTGCCATATACCGGGCACAATTCCAGACTCCGTGCTACTACTAAGGTTTTTAAAAACTCAGTAATACTTTGCCCGACCCGGGAATCGAACCCGACACCACTTGCCCGGCAGTCGTACTTGCAACCACTTGGTCTACGAGGCAGTCTATGTATGTAATGGACTATCCAACATAAAAAGAATTATTCAAATCGGACCAGTGCCTTTAGCCAGACGCCACTTTAGCGCTTGTCTACAGAGAGAGTAGAAAACTAAATGTATGGGGATGACACTGACAAGTGTCAAAATGTACGTCAATCCCATATAATTCAGTTTTCTATTCTACATGTAGACAAGCGCTAAGGGCCATTTGTGTACAGCTGCAGTAGTTCCGGAGATAGCTTGATTAAACAAACAAACTCTTTAGCTTTGTATATCGGTACTAGCTGACCGGGCAGCCTTCGTACCGCCTAATTTTTTTCTCACCTTTTGATAGGCTCTGGACTTCCACGAACATTTCAAGACACAAATTAGATGATTCGGTTCAGCCGTTCTCGAGTTTTAGCGAGACTAACGAACGGAAATTAATATTTATTTTTATAGATACTAGCTTTTACCCGCGGCTTCGATCGCGTCACAAAAGAATAAAAAGTAGCCTTTGTGACATATACCAATACACACAGCGCCATCTATACCAATACTTTTGTTTTTCCTCGGGAATATCAAATTTTTCCGGGATAAAAAGTACCCTATTATTTAATCCGGACTTCTAACTGTATGTCTGCAAAAATTCAAAGCAATCGGTTTAGTAGTTACGGCGTGAAGGTGGAACAAACAAACAAACAAACAAACTCACTTTCCGATTTATAATATGAGTAAGGATTTTAAAGACCTTTGCCCAGCATTGGGGACACGACCAATAAAAGTATATTTTGGCACAGCGTAATTTCAATATTATCAAATATATTTTTTTAAATCGTTAACCGATTTGCAAAATATGATTTTGAGAATTTCATAATATGCAAAATGCATTTTTTTAACTTTAATCTCGGATTTCGACGTCCGATGAATTATTCTACTTGAAATGTTGAGTAGTTTAAAAGTGTTTAAAATGTTTTAAATGAAAGTATTATCGAAATCGGTTTAGTAGTTTTGGAGTTTTGTCTGATTTGATTCGATCACAAACATGTTTTGATTGATGTTATTTTTGAAAATTTACATTTGTTTGAACCTGTTTTATTTTACTGCTATTAGTAATTTTAACTAATGTTATGGAGTATGGACACATGGATCTGATCGCATCAGTTGGGTTCGATTCCCATTTTGGTAATCTTTATCCTATATAATGTTTAAATGCGAATTAATAATCTTGTTTATTTTACAGGTTTTTTAGTAATTTGGCAGGTTCGAATCCTGCGTGATTTGGTTTGTTTAATATATATAATGACTCGGGTTCGATCCCCGATATAGTGAGAATATTGTGCTGTGCGAATTTTCATTATTACTATTTTAATAATACAGTGTTACATGTAGTTTATAAAATTATTGAATTTTAAACGATTTTAATTTTTTGTTTGAATTTTAATTGACGTCTATGATATTAGTTTTAAAATAATTTAAAATTTATTTTGTAGTTTTAAACTGAGCAGAAAAAATATATGTAGTTGTTAATTAATATTTGTGTTAAGAATATGTTCTGACTTTTTTCTGATCAGCGAAATAAAAATAGCGTTATTTAGAATGAATATATTTGTCCAATTTGTTATTAACTTTTATATGAAACTAATATCAAAGACGTGTGTATATTTTGATGAATTTGAAATGAAGATTGATTTTTATTTTTAAATGAAGATATTCTATTAATTATTGATTATTATGCTGTTGATCTTTCTCTATAAAACATTTATTTAATTTTTCCTAATGACGGTTGTGTTTCCTGACGAAAGCCTTTCGAAAATGGTAATATCTTGTAATTTTAAACTATTTTTAATAATATTTAAACAGTATAAAACTGTTTTAAATTAGTTAAAACGGTGGTCTGATAATAGTTTATGTTAGAAATATTATCAAAATGAAAGGCTCTTCACGATAACACGACTGCAACGCCCCCTATAGCTTTGAAAGGCAAATAGTAGCTCCGTTGTTTGTGGGTAGCGGTGCGGCGGGAGCGGAGCGGAGCGAGCGAGTGGAGCGGACGCCGCGCGGCGGCCGCGGTCGTGGCCCATTGACGATTTATTCATCAAAATGAGATCTTATGGATAATACCGACGATGTATTTTGCAATGGCAACGGTTTATGAAGTTTAGAATTTTAATCTCGTCCAGTGATGATATTCTGGCGGTATGTTGAGATTTTTAAAGTCATTTCAATACTTCAGTTTAAAATTGCTATTTTAAATGGTTTCTATGGACATTTTAAATGCAGTTAAGTACTCTTAAAGTGATTTATTAAAAGGATTTGGTTTCTCAATGAACTCATTAATTCATTTAAATTACAGGATAATAATTAAAGTCACAACTTGGCTCTCTATATCAATAAAAATGGAGCACATGACAGTGTGAGCTTTAAAGTATACGAAATAATATAAAATTGTCAATCGGCCACGCCGCGTCGACCGAAAAACTCTAAGGTTAGACATTATTTTAAGCAGATAAATCAATAAATCATGATTATAGTACAATTAACAATAAATAGAACAAAGGAACATGTTTGGAAACACTGCCTACAACGGTGCGAACAGGGGCGATGTACAAAATAACATAAAATATTTATACTCACTGACTAAATAATGTTATATTATTTTAAAAAGTTTTGAAAATTGTTTTGAAAAATTTTAATCAACCTGTATGTATCACGCAGTACAGGATGTTGTTTTTTTAAAGAGTTTAAAATTTTGATTTATTATTAATATAGGTTTGAAATTTTTTGTTTAAAATTGAATGTCAGCCCTTTTCCTCATCGTTGTTTTAATAAGAAAAAAATATCTTCTTTTATTATTATATAGAGAGAAATATGATTCCCCACGACATGCTTCGCGGTATAATGCATGCGACGCTAAAGGCAGTGTTGCCATGCTACTGTGGATCGTAAATAATCTAGATTCGCTGGCAACACCAACGTTTAACGCCTTGCCAGTCTAAAAAATGGTGATGGGAAGAAAAAATTAAATCATCGATATATGAATATTGTAAATAAATTGAAAATTAGGAAACTAATGATTTCTTTTTCAGCATTATTTTTACGATTTCTTTTCGTTTGCACTGTCCTTTAGAAGAATTAATTTTTAAATATTGATTCTGAGAATTTATGAATTTTCTTCTATATTTTCAAACTTCTATCATTCGTTTGTCGAGTTTAAAATTTTATTTTAAACCTTTTTAAATTTTGAAGTATTGTAAAGACACTTTAGTAATGAAGTGTTAAATGTTTTAAATTTGAAATAATTGTACTTAAAGTATTTAATAATATTATATTTCTATTTTTAATTAACGAAATCTAACCAGAGTTTTAAATAAATTTTTAATTAACCTCTTTTTGTATAGTGGTCGTATTAACAACAACAATTTACGTGCATAAGTGGGTTCGATTCCCGATGTATAATCAATTAGATTATCTCGTTGGTTTTATTTAAATAGAAAAGGTCTTTGGTTCGACTCCTCCTTCTTTTATTGAATTATAGTTGTGTTACATATTCGGACAAATTTCTTTCAAAATTTTAATATATATTTTTTGACTGCAATCAGGCTTAATGAGTATTTCGATATCGGAATTGAAAAGATTCAGTATGTCAGTATTATTACAACATATATCCTTGTATCGTCAAGGGGGTAGACAGAGGTCCACATATACAGTGTAACACCAACTTTAGACCAGTTATGTTATGCGTCTCACATAACATTACGCCTTTTATTCCCGAAGGGGTACATTACGGCACTTAATGCCACACTTTTCACTATTTATGTTATGAGTCCCATGTAATAGGATGTGAGTCCCATGTAATGGGCCTCTTTTAACCCAATGGACCTAAATTTGTTTAAGCAAAGCAGTTTTGGTTCCGATTCCCGGGATTTGCTTCTTAAGAATCTCATTGATATGGAGTCTAGAATTGTGTCCGGTATATGGCAATAGACTCACCCCCTATTACATGGGACCCCTATCTTTAATGTGTTTTTCAAATGTTAAAGCCACGAGATAATTATTTTATTGTAGTACTCTAGGTTCAATTCCTAGAATAAAACATGTTTTATGTTTGAGATTGTTGGACAATGTCGTAAATTATATCATTGTTTCGACCTGAGTTCGATGCTTGGGTTTGAATTTTGTGTTATTTTTGTTTTCGGCTTATGATTGTGCGACTGCTGTAAAAGTTCCAAGTTTGATTATCAAGTCGATTCATCAGTGTTGTAGGAGATTTTCTGTTTTATTAATGTTTATAAATACTATAAATATATAATATTAAAATCACAAAAATGTTATCTTTGTGATTTTTTTTATAATTTTTGCCAGTTTTGTCATTTGTCCGCTAAATAAGGGGCCATCCTAAAACCATATATCGAACGTTATACTGTATGATTGAGAATTTTAAATGCTATATACAAATCTGACTTCGAAAATGACATTTTTGAATTTTAAAATATCGTACCTACTATAACCACTCGTACCTACTATAACCACAAATAATTTATTTAGAATATATCTCTAAGACTTGATGATCGAATTTAGGAACTCGCACTCCGCAGTAGCACTTACGACGCACTATACCAAAAGAGGAATTTACCCGACTTGCTTTGAAAGAAGTTATGTTTTTATACGTAAAACTGGTTTGGTTTCTATATAAGATATTATAATATATATACAAAGAATAATAATAGTATAGGATGTATAGAGGATTTTGGACGACTGAAGTTATATTTTGAAAAATTGTTATATTTTTATGAATATTTGTGTAGCGATAGATGACTTTGGGTCTTAGGGAATGTCTTTTTCCAAATTATATGTACTTTCTAAGATTATTCAGACACCACTGACAAACGGTGAAGGAAAACATCGTGAGGAAACCTGGGCTTATAATTTCTAATTATAAGTTTTGAATCACCAACCCGCATTGAGTAAGCGTGGTGATTACTGCTTGAATCTTCTCCGTATGAGAAGAGGCCTTTAGTCAGCAGTGGACACTTATAGGCTGTTGATTTGATTTGATGTGTGTTCTGGGTATGTGTGTGGGATCAGTATGTGATATTTTAATAGTGTATACTGTGTAATTTCATTTAATTTTTGCCAGTTGTATTATTGGTCCAAATCTCTAATATATTAAGTCCGTACTCTTTATACCGTGGTTGTCAATTTTTATAAAATACTTATGTATAGTTAGTTGTGTTATTAATTCTAATAATGTAAAATGGGAGAATTTCCATTCCAATTTTGTAATATGGGGCTTGTAACTGAGAATTTCGAAAATAATTTTATTTTAAGTCCAAGATTATATGTATGTGAGAACGGTATACTTGTTACGTGTGTATAATGATTTGTAAGAATACGTTAGTGTGCCGATTCGATTTCTGGATTTAAAGTTCACCTTCTCTCTAGTTATGTTATTCAAAATATTAGGAAGAAAGAAAGAAAGAATAAAAATTTATTTAGCACTAGGCACGATGCAGCATAAATAAAATATAAAAAAGACAATCAAGGTGTGACAGTGGAAGTAATAAAAAAATTGAGTTGAAAAATTAAAACAGAAGAATTAGAAGAGAGACGCTGACAACATGCCTATGCTAAATGGGTCACCCACTCAGTGTAAGCCAGGCATACAAGTCACCCGGCACTGATTTTCAGTGGGCATTACATATTCAGTGGATATTACATTACAACATGTCATCGTGTACCGTAAATAGTACCGAATTGTTGTCTTTGTATCAATATTGATTATTGGGTTCGGATATTCGAAAATTTTAGCCTTTTGTGTTTCCTAAAACTCGTAAAAAACCGGATTATTGGCTTTGTGACGACACACGTCACTCGTTAGATATCGAAAAACAAATCAACGGGTGACGTCACAAAAATCCTATATCGCACAAGTAAAAACATGCGAATTAACACGAATAGAAAATCTCAACGAACAACTGTTGGGTAGAAAGCCCGCCAGGAACGATCACCTCGCCTGGTCGGAGGATCCTCCTTTTCCGATCTTAGGGAACTATACACTCTGTTCCCTAAAGGTTTAATTCCCGATTATAATAATATTAGAGCAATAAGTGTGGATGAAGGCGTGTATAAATGTAATTTAAAAATCATATAACTCGCTCATTACATGGGACTCGTAACATAAATAGTGAAAAGTGGGTGTTACATTCTACAGTGGTGTAATGTGCACCTCTGCCTACCCCTTAAGGGATAAAAGGCGTGATGTTATGTTATAACTCTCTAATCACGGAATCAAAGCTCATTATAATTGTTTTAGCCGTTTAGGACTTTGACACACACATAAATAAATAAGTAATCTACGCTACACAACATACTTAAACAAAATAAATAAATAAAAACTAAAATGTTTAATAGTACATACATTCGTTTCAGTACAAGCAAACTTCCGTCGGCCATTATACATGAAAAATAATAATAATAATAATCTAATGACAAATCTTTTTCAGGATTTAATCAAACATGTCTTTTCACAGGTCTCATTTAATATTAAAAATTACGTTCTTTCAATTCATTTCAGCTTCTAATTGCATTTTTTTTCAGCATTATGTCGACGGTGCTCTGTGCGTTAGGGTTTCAAGGCGATTCGTTTTCAGGGGACCAGCTCGGCGAATTTGGTATACCTTTATATATATATTTTGTATGTTATGTTGAGCTGTGTTATTGGCAATTTCTCCCGTACATTTATAAGTTTTTTTTGACACTTAACTATGTAATTTTTTATTAAAAGATAATATATTATAAATAGGTTTTTCTGCGTGTCAAAATATTTTTTCATATTAATTATACATGTGTATAGGAACTTTGCTTCTGTCAAAGAAACTGTTTGCTCATTCCAAAGAGTAGATCTGTAATTGCTATATTACTATTATAGTGTTATAAATACTTAACAATACCATGAGGAATCTTCGCAATTTGTTACCCTATTTTTGTTCCTGTTGCAAAATATTCAAATTAGAGAATTCATTTTTAAATTTCATTTTTTATTTTCTAACTTTATGTTGCCCGCGATTTCGTTCGCGTACAATATGAGTTTTAGGACATAAATGTTTTTTTTTTCGTTTCAAATTTTCAAAATAAATGTAGCCTATTGTACTCCTTAGTATATCAGCTACCTGCCAGTAAAAGTCCCGTCCAGCTATTCCAAAATTTAGCCAGTACATACAGACACATAAACTTTTTTTGTTCATATGCATGTAGTAAAAAACGGTTATTTTAATATTATAAACAGACACTAATTTTATCCATCTATTATAATATTTTTCCTATAAAGCATTCCCCAAAAATCCAACCTTCGCCAATCACAGCTCGATATCAATACCACAACCTTCCAAAAAACAACGACCCCCTAAAAACGATTCGCCGGAACGCCCATCTCAAACTGTAAGAAACTAATTCGTTCGATAACATGTGATTTTATCTTATTATAGATGAAAGTCGAGTTCATTGCGCTGCTGAAAGAGAAGGGCGTGGACAGACATTCCCGTTGGATCGACGCCAAGAAGAAGATCGACAGCGACCCTCGATACAAAGCTGTGGAGGGATCTAATCAGCGGGAGGACTATTTTAAGGAGTATTGCAAGATGGTCAAAGAGGAACGCAAGAAGGAAAAGGATGGGAAGGATAAGAGTGAGTGTCCTCTTTATTTTAATAGTCGTTTAGGGAACAGTGAGTGAAGTGACTGCCTCGTTAGATTCCGGGGTCAGGCAAAGTATTACTGGGTTTTTAAAAAAAATCTCAGTAGTAGCACGGAGTCTGGAATAGGGTAGACGACTAATTTTTATTTCAATGTCCGTCTGGTAGATTATTTTAAAACGTTACACACGTACTTTTTATTTTCTCACAGAAATTTTCTACGTATAAAATGTATATAGAAGTGACGTCACGCGACATTTCAAATCAATAGATCGTTGAAAGTATTCGTTTGTGTAAGAAAATAAAAAATTACGTGTCTAATGATTTGAAATAATCTACCAGACGGACATTAAAATAAAAATTAGGCATCTACCCTATTCGGAACAGGAGTAGATTGTAGTCAGAACCTAGATAATCATAGTCATTAGAAAATGTCTACTCTATCTAGAATTATCTATATCTTCTTGACATTATGTAATTCCAGTTAAGAAGGCATAATTAAATCTTCTTTTCAGTCAACAAAACTTTCTATCTTCAATAGCACAATATTCTATCATATGTATAACAAAATTACAGAACGCGAGCGTACAGGCGGCAAGAAAGAGAAACGGGAGAAGGAACGAGAGAAAGACAAGGAGGAGAAGAAGGAAGTAAAGAAAGAGAAGAAAAAGGAGAAGGGAGACGTAAGTACTGTACAGTTGCAGTGTTAACAGTGCTTGCGTGATAGGTTTAGGACTAGTACCGCTAATTGTTCACTAGATACCCCCTATTGTAGCTTCAGGTCTTAAGGTAGCATTAACCAATCACTATCTATAATGTACAATACACCCTGAATATAATGGACAATACACCCTGTAAACGGAACGTAACCGAAATGGTGATAAATTGAAATTGTTTTTATAATTGTAATCGTTTCTGTTTTCGTGTTATTGATGCAATATCAGCGTTGAGCAGTTGATTCCAACTATTATTACGTAAAAGGAACATTTAATTCCATACTTTTATGAAACTACTAGGTTTTACCCGCGGCTTCGCTCGCGTCACAAAAGGATGAAACCAGGACATACACCAATACACACAGCGCCATCTATACCAATAATTTCGTTTTCCCTCGGGAATATCAAATTTTTCCGGGATAAAAAGTACCCTATTATTTAATCCAAACTTCTAACTTCACATCTGCAAAAATTCAAAGCAATGGGTTTACGGCGTGAAAGTGGAACATCCGATTTATAATATTAGTAAGGATAACTTGTTTTTCACCATTACCTGAGGCCTTCGACGCTGTGATTGGCCGGCTCTAATGAACCAACCAATCAGAGCACAGAACGCCGTCTCGTTTCGATTACTTTAAACGTAAAATAAAACTTTACTAACGCCTGTGTAGGCGTTTTTCTCGGCAGCGATCCGTTTACACCGTGTTAGTGATTGTCCATGGACGGCGCGGATTGCTTACCATCAGGTGATCCGTCTACTCTATTACCGATCTATACTATAATACAATCTAATGCACTGTTAAAACTGTAACGACTTTTCCAATTATTATTATTACATTTTATTAAATGCTCACGACGTTTTTATTATTAATTGGACGCGTTTTCAAAAAATGTATAAAGAGGCCATCTACTTAATAACTATTGAATAATTTACTGGAAGAATATAAACAAGAATAATTAGTACTAGTATCTGCCACCGGCTTAGCCCGCGTTCCCGTGATATAAAAAGTAGCCTATGTGTTATTCCAGACAATAGTCTACCCCTGTTTCAAGTTTTACCCCTATCCCTTCAGCCGTTTCGACCTGATTGAGTAATACAAGTACAAACTTTGGCATTTATAATATTAAATAGGATTAGTAGCATAGTAGGATTTGTCTACAAACTGCACAGAGCACTTATTGAATCATAAATCAAGGATGCCCTAGGAGACGGTGCCTTTAGCCAAACGCCACTTTAGCGCTTGTCTACAGAGAGAGTAGAAAACTAAATGTATGGGGAAGTGTCAAAATTTACGTCAATCCCATATACTAATTTGGTTTTCTATCCTACATGTAGACAAGCGCTAAATGGCATTTGGCTACAGCTGCATGTCCTGTGACACGTGTCGCTGACGATGTTGGGTGAAGTAGCGCGATATTGCCGGACTTTGGTCGACATGTCTGTCAACATCAACGGCGCTGTGGACGTAAGGCGCGCGTTGCCACCTTTTTTCTATAGCATAAGCCGGTAAACGAGCAAATGAATCACCGGTGAGCAATCAGCGTTGACACCAGATACAAGTGTGTTACCGGCTTCTGGGAATTAGGAGTTTGAGAATCGTGGGGCATTCAGGGATTGGAGAAGGGGAGCGGGGTAATTTGGCCTCTGGTAACCTCACTCACACGAAGAAACACAACGCAAGCGTTTCTTCACGTCGGTTTTTTGTAAGGCTATGTATCACTCGGTCGCGCCGGCCCATTCGTACCGAAGCATGGCTCTCCCACACTAAAAACTCACCTAATATGTCAAGCGACATCGGCTGGCTTCACTCGACCTGGTGCCGATACGTGTCTTGGGACATTTGTCCTCTAGTTTATCCTTAGCTTAATTACTGTTCTTAAGTAAAATACGTCTAGTAAGAATAAAAAAGAATTTGAGAAAATTATCTATACTTATTCTTTTAGGCAACAGAATTTTTGTATTCAATTTTAATACACTTGGAGTAAAGAAACTGTGCCACTAGCGTTTTTTCGTTTTCATTTTATCGAAGCCTCTATAACTTGAAAAAAATATTCCTTCATAACAAAATGCTCTTATTTTGAAGGTAGCTAAATTGTGTTTCATACGACATACGTTACCAATCAATAACATACTTGTATCATGGAATATTTATCCAGGCGTCCTTCTCTTTGCTCCCAAGAGTACATATTAGTTCAGCAAGCGTCGTGAGCATCATTCCTTAAATATATTGTAATTGCGGTGCGATTATTTATTAATACAAATTAAATAATCATGCGAAACTGCGTCGGACATTTTTAATTCTACGGTCTTTTTTAAATTTCAAACATTGGCCTTTTAGCCAAATATTTTATACAATAAGGTAGTTTCCGAAATTTTATTTTAATGTCCGTCTGGTAGATCGATTTAAAACTTTAGACATGTATTTTTCTTTTCTCTCAAAACTAAATACTTTCGACGATATATTAATTTGAAATATCGTGTGACGTCACAGCGTGTCACATTTTGTAGCACGTTATGACGTAACGGCCTCCCACTCCTAAACTTAGTATTGCAACTTATTAAGAAAAAATAAAAAAAATACGTGACTAATATTTTTTCATTATCTAACTGACGGACTAATTAGATTTTTAATTTCGATACACCGGCAACTACCCTATTTAATTTCAAGGAAAACTATATTTTATTGTGATTAAAAAATGTGTTATGTATGTATATTTAACGGCAAACGGAATTAATGTATTTGATGATTGTAAAATGTCATGATATGACTGTTTGATTACGTGGTGTGATATACATCGTGAACTCTATGTCGTTTTCGTCCCGCGGTAAAAGAACTTGCCATAAGGAGCACTTTCGATGTATAAAGTAAAAACAAGGAAATAAACATGTCATATTATTAGTTAAAAAATCATAAAAATACGCACATGAAACACTAGACGTACATTTGTAGGCACTATTCGCATCGCACGTGTCACCCGACGAGAAATACCTCTTCGACAATGACACGGCATGATGTTTTGATAATGTACTATGAGTTCGTATGCGCTGTCGAAGTTTGCTTCTTGCAATGGTTCACCAGTTGTTTTTATTTGTTTGTAAAACTATTGTATTACCCAGACAGAACCATTTTACTTCGGGACGGAAACGAAATAGATTTCACGATTAAAATTAAATGACGGCGTCTTCATTCCGGGGTATGTACATAGTCTTCTATAAATAATATTGTTATTTTTTTTAATACGAAATATCCTCACATACTTTTTTTTTAATTTAAAAATTCGTTTAAACAATTTTAAACCTTTTAGTACAGTCGGTGTTTTCTTATTTCGATCTTAACTGCACATTTGTCGCAGTGACTGTTGTTCTGTTTGGGTTCGATTCCCGAATTGTACAGGAAAAAATATTTGAATTATATAGGCTGTATTTAATTGTGATAAAATCGTTCGAACTGTACAGGGTGTGTGAAAAAAACATTCGAAGTGTACAGGGTGTGTTTAATTGAGATAAAGTCTATATTTTTTGACAAATCGTTTTTTTTTAAATAATCTTGGAAGAAAAAAGTGGAGTTATTTGTGATAGTTCGTCGCGTGTCATAATCTGCGGGAGTGGAACAATGCAATAGTGCAGAATTAATGCAAGTTACCTGTTGGTTGCAGAGTGCATAAGTTTATGAGATTGGCGCGGACAAACGGAGCGACGTGCGGTGCTTGGCGGCTATACATCGGACGAGTTAGGAATGCACTGTATTATACATTTATTTGTATAAATTATATATAACTTTCGTGGACGTGGGATGTTTTCGGTTTACTCACGTAAATGTCCTCGTCAAGGAACTCGACTAATCTCGAGCCGTCCTAGGGGCTTAAATTCATGAGCAGCTTTTATTTGTATGATATTCATTCAAGAAAATAGCGTATGCCTTTTTAAAAGTGTTCTGGGTGTCCATGGGCGGCGCTGATTGCTTACCATCAGGTGATCCGTCTGCTGTCCGGTCTTTGTCATATATGTAGTTTGTTAACCAGGTATACGACACCCGCGGGAAGTGTAGGGTTTGTGAATTATATAAATAAAAAATACAGTGCATTCCTATATACAAGGGCGTATATTGATCCTAAGGTCACATTTTATAAATTAACTTATAATCTATTATTATAATTTAACCACATAAAAAATCAGTAGCTTAGACTATATATGTCTTTGTTTTTACTGAGTTTTTCTATAATGTGGTTTGTTTCGGTACCCTTTCGTGGATGGTTTCCCTTCTGTAATTGGTTTTTGGGATGGTTCTTGTTTAATTGGTCATTTTCTGAACTAGGCTTTGTAGTTGGCGTCGTCATAATTTAAAAAAAATATTCTGTGTCGTGAGTGCGTTTATAAACATACAAGTTCACACACATGACATCCAGAGCCGTAACAACAATTTGTGGATCACACAAAGAGTTGCTCCGTGCGAGAATTGAGCCCGGTGCACGATGCACGGCAGCCGGTTTCCAAGCGACGCGCCAACTGTGCAGTATTTGAAAATATTATAGTTGGTTTTCTAGAGAAATATGATGTCACAATGTAAAATCTCGAAGAATATTTTCAACCGTACGAATGTCTTTTTGATATTTCCAAAAACATCTTTTTAAATTGACTGCCTCGTTGGCCGAATGGTCGCAATTACGACTGCCGGACAAGAGGTCTCGATTCCCGGGACGGGCAAAGTCTTACTGGGCTTTTTCAAAAAATGCCAGTAGTAGCACGGAGTCTGGAATTGGGACCGGTTAATGGCAATAGGCTCACCCCTTATTACATGGGACTCCTAAAATAAATAGTGAATAAAGAGTGTTACATTGTACAGTGGCATTAAGTGCCGTAATGTGCATGTCTGCCTATTCCTTTGGGGATAAAATCCTAGTGCGGGGCAACGTTTTTTAATAAGAGAGGAGAATATATTTTATACAAGAAAACATCCCATATATTT